GCAGATTAAGACAAATGATCCCTTGTGTAGTGTCGTTCAACAATTGAATAGTGAATCCTCAGATTGGAAAAGTAAAATAGACAGTGATGTTTATGATTATTTTAGAACGGACGTGGTGACTGGAAAGATTTTTACATATGACTCTTCATAGACAGAATGTTTAAGACTTATTTGAAATATTAACCAACATTGGAAGGATCGACCACGGCCAAAACCTCAGCCAGAACCATTTTATAAGATTGGCGATCACAAGGCGTATATTCTCAAAAACTTCCCCAATCTCCCTGTTCGAGTGCATGCTACTGTGAGGTCCAATGAAGAATTGAAAAACAATCCAGATCTCAAGAACTTTTTAAATTTCAGTGAAAGAAAACCACATCAAAAATAAACAGCTTTTAAACAGTAAAAACAGTTTGTGAAAAGGCAAGTGAACAGGAAATATACCGTGTAAAATAAAATTTACTCAGAGTGGAAAAGACAAATAACTTTTTACGTAAATGATTATTTTGATTGTTGGCTTTCATTGAAAGATCGATTGATTGCGACCAGCACTTAAGACATCCATTTTATAAAGTCGCTGATCCTAAGGAGTTCTTTTTGAAATCCCAGTTCGGGTGCGTGCGGCTGTCTGATGTAATGACGAATTGAAAAACAATCTAGAACTTAAGAATTTTTCAGTTTTTAATGGAAGCGAACCACAATGAAAAGTTTACTGACAGGAAAACAAACAACAAATCAACGATACGGTAGTTAAAGGATTTATTTTATAGATGTAAAGTAGCAAAACACTTTTCACGACGTATTTGGATGATACATAATCACATTTCTGCATCTAGCTAACATTATTGAATGATATGATATCTGATTATTTAAATTTTAATCTCAATTGCTTTTGTTGAAGACGTATGACATGTAAAGTCAACTTTTCAATACATTATAAAACTCTTATACGATAGAAAATGGTATTTCTGGAGTTACAATATTACCAAGATCCCGTTTATTAAAGTATTAAAAGGCAGTGATAATGGTTAATGCCAAAAGCACAATTAAATGGACTTAAGTTCTGAATTTAATAAACATTTATTGTCTGAAGAGACTGAACAAAGGAATTAAAAAAAAAAATGAAGCCTTTACAGCAAATAGAGAATGAATCCGGTATAGCACGCAGCCTGAAAGTCTGGTCTTGAATGTTATGGGCTCCTGAGGGTTGCTTTTGCTGTAAAACTAAGCATCGTCTGTTGAGCAACTCCATAGATAGAATTTATAGATAGAATTTAGGAGTGCTTTTTTTTACTAGTTCACATTAATTACGCAGCTAATCAATACAAAACAGTTGAATTAAATAACTTTTTTTATGAGATCAACAGAATTTCTTCTAATGGACTCTTTAATATTTTTATTAGTTTTAATTTGATTTATTAAAAGAATATTGAATATACAGATAAGGTTATCTACCTCTCTGTATCACCTGTTTTCTAAAAACTCTCTCACACCCACATTCATTGAATAAAGTATAAAACTAGTCTTATAACTGCTGGAAGACTTTGTATTCACTCCACTGATTGTATGATTTGAAATATTTCACCAAAAATCTTATATCATAGATTGATGGGTAAAAGAGTTTGCATTGATTAGTAAGATCAAGGCTGTTGTGTTGCACACATTGAGGGTTAGAGTTTTTTGTGAGTTTCTAGAGTACTGGAGTATAACTTTCTCGACAACTTCACGAACATATAGTGGATGGTCAATTGAAAGAATAACTTGATGCCTAAGGTTTACAGGAGGCTACGGCGTTTCAGCACTTAGTTAACATCTGTTTCAACTTTGTCTATTCCTGAGGCAAAATATAACCTGTAAGTAATTGTAAATTTCCGGCTTAAAACATTTTCAATCGTAAAATTTCATAAATACAAAAACTCCAACGTATTTGAATTAGGCCATCTATTAAAATAATATTGGGCCATCCAAACACGGAAGTCATTAAAGTTTATATGACCAATTACCATATTCTCACCAAAGATAGGGCGTGAAAAACAATTCAAATGATGTAGTATCAATGGAAATTTTTGAAATTCAAGAAACATTTGGCTCCAAACATGCAAAAAATTAAGAATTTTTGAAATCATCAGTTTTACGGCAGCAATTCCAACATCACTATTTTATGAAACATTACGACTTTTTTCGTTAACTACAACGAACGCTTGTGTAGCCGTTTGGTAACTGTAACAGTCAAGACAACGCAATCTATGATGTGGGATCGGTGCTTGGCCCTGTCATTGACATTTAAGTTGTACCAACTTTGTCATATTCTTTTCTTGTACGATATATTTATGAATATTATAGACATCAACAATTACATTGAAGACCATTACGTCATACTTGTATGGTTATGAAGCCTTGCGCACATTTTTTCATAGTGTAAGGTTATTCCATAGAATTTTCTCTAACAAAAGAGCATATGATTGCGCTATCTAATTTGAAGTAGAATAGAGATATTTATCAAAAAGTTTGCTTCATGGCATGGTTTACCACGTTGGCTTACAAACAAATTGATCAACATCAACACAAAACTTCTCAAACTACCGTAAACACATCATACGATGTCATTTGTATCCATCTTTTTTTAGTAGATGATAAAGGTTGTACAATTGTTGAAAGTTGCATGCGCAAGATTTATATATTTTATTATCTCAGACCCCAGATCATTTGCTAGGTATCCGCACATTAATGTCACATGAAAGCACTCAGTAATAATTGTGTGACGTTTTAGTTTAAAGTTTTGTACGAATAGCATCATTTAGCTTTTGTTAACTTATTTAACTTTGCAGACAGCATATACTATAATAACAAAGGAACCTAGTAAACAACTAAGTAATAAAGAACATGCTACAGTTTTCACCAGCCCTTTAAACATAACGTTACTAACATTAAAAACAACACGATTTATGTAATTCATAATAGTGCAAGAGATTTTTCATGAATTGACCAAGGCAGACATTATTGCCTCTTAATCTAGAGTCTCCTGCTTTTATTTAAGTATGTTTTACGGTGAGTTGTAACATACTATAGCTAGATTGCACAACCGTGTTTTACTTTTGCTGTAAGGATTGGTTTGCAATGGTAACAAGTCTTCATCAATTTTCACAAGACTATGAATTATTTGGTACTCGTTTACATAACACACGTCATTCTTTTTTAAATGTCATACGTAGTCGCACAGAAATCTAAGTATAACATCGTCCTGAATTGTAAGAGATATTCTCTATATGCATGCACTTAATAAGTATATAAGATTTATAACTCATGCAACGGTACAAAAACCACCTGCTGAAATTTGATATCCACTAAAGGACCATCTTTCACTGGAGGCAAACGAACGTACATCGTAATCCCATTTACTTCCAAAATCGAATGGAAGTGTCAATAAACAAATATGAACATCTTCAGAAAGCAAAATTTAATTAAATTAAATTGAAGCATTCGTATGTAGTGTACTATTATGTCTAATTATGTGTACTATTATGTCTAATTATGTGTACTATTATGTCTAAGTGTACTATTATGTACAAAAAAATTGCTATTCTCTTCTACACATAAACTATACATCATAAAAATCATTTTCTTTACTTCAAGACTTTCAAATGAATGATTCTTAAAAAAATTCGTTTTCAGACTGGACCACATATATTTGCCAAAAAATTATAACTGAGGACATACTTATGTTGAACATACGAATATCTATAAATGCCTTTCCTATTACAATGTACAATTTGAGATGTTTACGTCAAAAATTATTTAAAAACTATAACTATAATATGAACAATTCTAACACAAGAACAGTGTATTGGGAATCAAACATAAAGACTAAATTGTACCGCTCCTAAAAGATGTGTGTGACATTTTGGTAAATCAAAGCTGTTTGGAATAAATTAAACAGATCAAGCGTTTCTTAAGCTGAGTTAGTTTTAAAATATGTCACAAGTTGCTTAAACTGTTATCTTCTGATTGGTCAGTTCCTAGGTATGTTGTCTTCTCATTGGTCATTTTCTTGGTGTGTTGTCTTATGATTGGGTAGTTCCTAGGTTTGTCGTTATTTGTGCTTCGCATTTCTTACTGCACTTCAACCAACGTTATACGGGGCTTATCAGAGAACGGAACACCTTCAGGAATTAACGTACTGTGAAATTTCAATACATGATTACGATTCTAATCCTGTTGGTGCCTAAATACTGTTCCTGTTCAAGAAGTTACATTCAATTTCAAGGACAGAAAAGCTTTCATGTTCATAACTGAGATATGCAATATATGAACGTATAGCTTGCGATTCTTTATGCACCCATGAGCTTAGCAATAGCATATAATGATTGGCATTGAAATAATCACAATAGGTCAATTTGTAAAGGTCTTATTTTTTCTACTACGTTCTGTAAAATTAGCTTTATAATTAGCATTCATTGTGTTATGAGTATTTAAGTGGTACTTCTCATTCTCGTATATTCTGTCCTGAGGTGTATTTTGTATATTCAGGGATAGATCTGTTGGTATTCTGGCACTCCTATCATCTGTCATAACAGTATGAGCTGGGAGTGGAGGACTGGCAGTATTAATGGAACTGAGTTAAATAGGGAATCAGTTAAAATAGCTCTTCTCCCTGAGACTTCGTGCATCACCAACATCCTAAAGAATATCATCTCAAGCAACATCTTAGCGCTGTTATAGACTACACCAATTACATTTCAATGAAAAAACTTATAGTGATCACTGGTTTATGTTATGAGATCAGTAGGTAATCTAGTAAATCTACGAAAGAGATCAAGAAGAATATATGACTTAATTTTGAATGAGATCTTGACGGTGGCAAATACAAGTTGCAATGACGTATGGGTAAAGCATGAACGTCTACGACGGAAAGAGTCAAAATTCGGTGACCTTCACACCTCGTTAAAGCTGTTTGAAGACAAGGACATCACGGTGTTGAGTTTACATTTGGGAATTTTACCTGCAAGATACTGGCTGGTAAAGGTAGGAAGAGAATAAAAGAGATTATACGGAAGTGCGTCGTGTCCAAGAGATGCCAGGAATAACGTTACGTAATCCAGAGACTTCTGATTTACCAAAATGCAGACTAAGAGTGATAGACAAAGCGGTACCACTTGACGTGAAGATGAAGAGAAAATCCTTGACAAATCACTTTCAAAAAAAGTCAGTCGGGCACAACTGACTACAGTCCTGGACTACGATCTAGTTATGTTATTCAATTAATACTTTTATATCATCTGCTTCTCACAGCAAATCTAGAAGGTTGAGGGCGTGTGTCAGTGTAAATATTCAAGTATTCAGCTCTGCTCAACCGATTTCTTCTGAAAGCAATTGTACTTTTGCTACATGGGAGGCCGTTACTTTCAGCCCTGCTTTCATGGAAATGGTAAGTGGAAAATATGGGGATGGTGGAAACCCAAACCAGGGGAATCTGGCTTGCTGTCAGCTAACAAATTCTGACGATTAAAGCGCATGAAAGTCTGATACTAAACTCCCAATGATTTATCTGATTTTCTAGTCGATGTATAGAAAACTTAGTTGTCAATGATATCGTATAAACCCCAATGATAATATCGACATTTTATAGATGACGACTTTTTGAGGAAAATGGTGATCTGACAAGCAAGTGGAGTCTGTAAAACTCATTCACTGCATCCACGATGTACATATATGTATTAATATATCCACACCATGGTTTGTATTCAGTCAGAATTATTTTATTTGGATAAGAATAAAATTGATCTCTTATAAATATCTTGCCGATGTAAGCTTGGACGCTTATCAAAATATATTTAAAAATTTAGATAAATCTTCAGGCTTTTTTAATTCTTCACAGAAATATTTGAATTTACCATATAAATATAATATTTTTATTCCAAGAAATTGCCCGTACGGTATCAATTTTTGAAATTAGACCTTATTATTCACTAAATTTACTCTTATATAAAGTTGTGCTAATCTAATGTATTAGGTATGTCAAAAAACCATGCGTTGTTCATGTGTTGTTCACATGGTTGCTCATATGCTTGTTCACGTGCCGAAAATCATATATGACATTTAATATATCATTCATTCATACGCTTACATCATTCATTCATACGCTCGTAGTGGGAGCGTTGTCGGTGTGTATGAAAATACAAATGAGAGCAGCAAGGATTGCGTTTGTTTTTTTAAAGGCTTCTCTCATCGATCTTTTACAGTCAGTTAAATGATCTCGTGTCATTACAAAGTGGTCGACTGAACAAACGAGGATATAAACATTATTTAAACGACGTCAAAATATAAACAATATATAAACCACTTGCCCTGAAGGTAAGAAATGTTTTTATCTTCAGTTATGCTTACTTTGCTTGAATTATACAATGATTACAATCTCAAATTCGATAGACTTGGAATAGCATCAGTATTACCACTGCAAAAAAGTATTTTACACTTCATATAAAGTAAACATTTATTCTAAACGTTTCGTCTAGTCTTACATACTACCACATATTCTACTGATTATGAGATATGTAATATATAACACTCGTTGAAATGGTTAGAATAAAATGCTGTTTACTTTATACGGAGTGTCAATATTTGTGCTTTACCAAAATATCAGACTATCTGGGCTTTTTTATGAGTCTATTCTCAGAAACACGATAAACTTCACCAACGATTATTCATGAATACGAGCATGGCTTATATAGTATAAAATACGCAATGGTTAGGGATCCGACATCGGATCTTTATTTTTCATTGTTATACTTCCGACAATCCTTCATGTACAATCTTGTAAAAATTACAATTTGTAGAGCTTATGAAGACGAATGCCGAAATCATGTCAAATGTGAGGGCTAACCGAGTTCGAATTACGGCCAGCCATGTCATTTATATAATCTGTCGAATGAGATAAATATATTTTCTTTCTTAAATGATTTAATTTTTCATCTTTTTACAAACCAAAGCAACAACAGCGTTCTCACGCGTGCTTTCAGGGAATTTATGGGGATATGTAATATTACTACTGTGAAGGTACCACAGGATTCATCCTGACATTCATCCTGACATTCATCCTTACATTCACCACAGGATTCACCACAACATTCAAAATTAGCATAAAGTGTGAAGTTGACACCACATTCATTTTAATGTTATTAAATAACATCAGTTTCAGAAAAAAATAGACCGTATTTTTGCTAAAAGCAAAAGATGTTGTAGACAAGTTATTTAGACAAGGATTATACTATTTTTATTTTGGTCGAAAGTCTTGGAGCAAATCTACAGCCTTTTAAAGACTACTTCCGCTTTTGTCTCTTTACTTTAAATAATTGCGCGATGTTTACAATGCATAAATGTTGACATCTAAAAGGCCTAATTTTCAAGAAATAAACACGCTGGAAAATACTTGTGTTTGGTAACATCCGAAAGTACGTTTTCTGAGGATTACAAATATGGTTTTATTATCTTGGTCCAAATTCGTGGAGCGAATCTACAGCCGTGCAAAGTCGACTGTGAAGGTACCACAGGATTCAAGATAGTACGGTTTTATACGGTAAACACGCTACAATTTACTTGTGTTTAGTATCGTCTTAAAGAGCGTGTTCTGAGGATTACAAATATGGTTTTATTATCTTGGTCCAAATTCGTGAAGCGGTTCTACAGCTTTGGAAAGGTGGAGCATTTTTGCGTTAATTAATAGGCAAGTTGTCATGTTGCATTATTTCACTAACGTCTAAATATGCCGGGTGTTGGACTAGTTAACACGCTGCAATATACTCGTATTTGGTATCAGATTAAAGATCTTGCTATGAGGATTACAAATATGTCTTTATTATTGTGGCCGACATTCCAGGAGCGAATCTACAGCTTTGGAAAGGTAGAGCATTTTAGCGTTAATTAATATTCGCGGTACTTAACTGACATGTTTATATATATCTAATTTTGATGAAGTTAACACGCTACAATTTACTTGTGTTTAGTATCGTCTTAAAGATCTTGTTCTGAGGATTACGAATATGGTTTTATTATCTTGGTCCAAATTCGTGAAGCGGTTCTACAGCTTTGGAAAGGTAGAGCATTTTTGCGTTAATTAATAGGCAAGTTGTCATGTTGCATTATTTCACTAACGTCTAAATATGCCGGGTGTTGAACTAGTTAACACGCTGCAATATACTCGTATTTGGTATCAGATTAAAGATCTTGCTATGAGGATTACAAATATGTCTTTATTATTGTGGCCGACATTCCAGGAGCGAATCTACAGCTTGAGAAATGTGGAGACGTTTTGCGTTAATTTATATTCGCGGTACTTAACTGACATGTTTATATATATCTAATTTTGATGAAGTTAACACGCTACAATTTACTTGTGTTTAGTATCGTCTTAAAGATCTTGTTCTGAGGATTACAAATATGGTTTTATTATCTTGGTCCAAATTCGTGAAGCGGTTCTACAGCTTTGGAAAGGTAGAGCATTTTTGCGTTAATTAATAGGCAAGTTGTCATGTTGCATTATTTCACTAACGTCTAAATATGCCGGGTGTTGAACTAGTTAACACGCTGCAATATACTCGTATTTGGTATCAGATTAAAGATCTTGCTATGAGGATTACAAATATGTCTTTATTATTGTGGCCGACATTCCAGGAGCGAATCTACAGCTTGAGAAATGTGGAGACGTTTTGCGTTAATTAATATTCGCGGTACTTAACTGACATGTTTATATATATCTAATTTTCATGAAGTTAACACGCTACAATTTACTTGTGTTTAGTATCGTCATAAGGATCTTGTTCTGAGGATTACAAATATGGTTTTATTATCTTGGTCCAAATTCGTGAAGCGGTTCTACAGCTTTGGAAAGGTGGAGCATTTTTGCGTTAATTAATAGGCAAGTTGTCATGTTGCATTATTTCACTAACGTCCAGCATGTTTTATTTTTTTTTGCTGATAAAAAGTAATTTCCAAAGTCAGCATACTTGACATCGACTGGAAAATGCAACAGCTTTGTGACGTATTTTGTTATTCAACGATGACGCACAGAATGTCGGTTTGGCAGATTTCAAATCAAAAAAATTTTAATATTGTTTTTGCAGTGATTGAAGAAACAAAACACGATAAACTGATTTTATTTCTATTGTTTGTGTCGAAGAACGATTAACCCTTGGTGCACGCATTTGCATGCGTCATCGTCATTCATCGACAAACTAGCTATGAAACAAAAGACAATGTCAGCTGTCAAGTTTGAAGACATTGTAAATCACTAAAAAAATAATATGTTGCAAAAAAATAAACATATTCATAGGTTCGAAATTTAAATAATGTAGGAGAATATAATAATAGCACGAAAAATCAAAACTCCAGAATAGTGTTGGTGTTTTAAAGTTATTTGTCAATAAAACATTACAATTTGAGAAACACGACGATTTTTTAAGCGCAAACATGTTTCGACATCAGAACGACATCTTTCGATGACAAACATGTTTCGACATCAGAATGACATCTTTATTGTAAAATGGTCAGGGTTAACACGTGATTTTAATATATTCCTTCATGGTTGGTGAGTGCGTACGATTTTTATGCACGAGTAGAAGAGGGATTGAAAACAAACGAGTGAGCGTAGCGAACGAGCGCACAATAAAAATCGTACAAATGAAGCGTGCAAGTGTCCATTTTGATCTCGTACATACAACATACAATTTCGCAACTGGTACTAATATATTCTAGGATGTCCTTACTTTCTGACTTTTGTTGCCCTTCAACGCCTTTTAACACAAGTTAATAAAGCTATCTTACCAGAAAGATAGCTTTATTAGACATAGACAGAAAGAGACAGAGCTCTAATTTGCTTTTAAAAGTAGCTGACCTCACTCCTATCGTAGAAATGACTCATCATAGTGAAGTACAAATACAAAATAGCGTAACTATACGATGCTTCGACTTTGAATCTAATCTATTTCATTCTTTTCTATTCTTTAAAGAATGTGACTGTTTCGCCCAATATCAGGGCTCATCAGCATGCCTAGGAACCACACCGCGATAGGGTGGTGCAATTCCGACATGGACAGCCGCATTTTCTCGTGATATAATACGAGACGTCTCTCAGCGCATTAGAGCAGCCAGTTGCGTTGTCTGACATTTCTGCAGCAACGGCGCATTAGAGCAGCCAGTTGCGTTGTCTGACATTTCTGCAGCAACGGCGCATTAGAGCAGCCAGTTGCGTTGTCTGACATTTCTGCGGCAACGGCGCATTAGAGCAGCCAGTTGCGTTGTCTGACATTTCTGCAGCAACGGCGCATTAGAGCAGCCAGTTGCGTTGTCTGACATTTCTGCAGCAACGGCGCATTAGAGCAGCCAGTTGCGTTGTCTGACATTTCTGCAGCAACGGCGCATTAGAGCAGCCAGTTGTGCATCAACAATGAATTTATCGGTATATGCAAGACATACAGTTAGTTTCTTCATTAATTGATTTTTCATAAAGCGGTAACAATACATGTGTTTGTGAGATGTGTTTGCTCGTCGTTGAAAAGAACATAACAAACGTACTCACCACAATTATGATATTCCAATGTAAAGCTATAAGTTTGATTTAATGAAACAATGTTATCATTGTGTTTCCATTGGAACTGTCTAGGTATTTCCCCATTACAAAAACATTTAAGAGTTACGAGACGACCGACATTTTGCTTGTAAGACGTTGGTATTTGACAACATCTAACGTCACGAGGAAATATTGTTTTTGAAATGAAAAGGAGTTCATTAATGTACAGCTCATTAGCAATTATTGGTCGCAATGCGTTTATCAAAAAAATATTTGGACTATGATCATATAAGCCCATTCTATAACGAGCATAAGCCAGGACAAAACACCACAGCTAATGGCATCATTCTGCGCTGGAAATTTGTCTTCCCAATGCGCCGAGAATTCCGACACGAAATTTTTGTTTGCTATTTCGATACATTGACCTCTCATTCGGTAAAGTTCTTTGAAGTAAAATTTTATATTATCTACCAATGTTAGATATTGACTGCCTCTTGCCATTGGGTCGTACAAATAAATGCAACATTCAACAGTGTTGATTATTGCCATACACCAGTGACTACCTTGTCCAACATTTATAGGAATTGCAATCACGTCGTAAAGATGAAACAAAACACCTCGGTAGTGCCTCCTTAACATTTCATGAAAGCGCTCTTTATTGTTCGGCTGGCGTACGGATCGAAGTTTTGTCATGAATTGTGTCGTGAATGCAAAACTACGCAATCCAAACTTTTCCGTATTTTTTGTTAGCAATAGAAGGTAACAATTTATAACCTCATCATTGAGCCATCCAGGGTTGGAAAGAACATATGTATCGTTTGAAAAACCCTTTTCCAAAGGTTCAAGAGTTTTGATATCTTTTCCCAGAAGATTGTATCCGTGTGTTTTAAATGAAGCAACACGTTCATTTCTTACATTGAGATCACAAAGTGAGTGAAATACCTTGCACATTTTCTTATATTTTTGTGCAATTGACGGAGGCAAACTATCGACCTTTGATTGGACATCTCTACTATTCGTTTGTGCGGTTGGCGCACTTGTGCTATGAACAGAGCCCACAAAATTTGGTGAGCTTGTACTTCGGGGTATGTCCTCATTGTCACTATCATCGCTGAGTTGGGTTGACGACTGTCGTTCGTCTCCATAACCTTTGTCACTAAAATTTTCAGCGGAGTAAAAGGCTATGTACGCATAAGTTGACACCTTTGCTTCCACTTTTGTGATATATCAGAGACGAATGTATCGTCGACCTCATAAACTCTTCCATCTTTGAATATTACAGCTGTGTAATGGCCAACATCAATACCTGAGCCGTAATGCAATGCACATGAGGATAATTGATAAGTGGCCGATGCACCATCATTCTGCAATGTTAATTTTAATGGCAGTGGAACTCTCTGACAACTCTTCGTAACTCCTGATCCATTTGAAACAAATCTTTTGAAACCAAGGCATAAAATTTTAGGCAGTGTTTTGAGTTCACCTATGCGAACGTGATTCGTCCTCACACTGCATGTGCTACAGTGTGTAAATACAGAATCGATTAAACTCTCTTCGATTTTTTCTGTTAAGGTTTTGTTGCCATTGTCAACGGAAGCAAAAAGCGTCATGAAGGTTTCCTCATCATGCAACCGAGTTTTTCCACATACATCACAAATTTTTCTATATTTGTACGTTCCTCTAAAGGAGCCTGCGTCACAATGTTCATGCAAAACTATAAAACTCTCGTGAATATCATGTTGTTGGCCACTCGCATAACCAAAATACTTATTAAAAATGTCGTGCAGCTGTTGTGGATACAAAGGTTTGTCATTCGTGTTTTTAATATTCGCAAGGTTTTATTCAGTACTTTCACTACAGTTGGATTACATTTTGTCGTTGTTTCGGGTATTCAACTTTTAATGCATGCAAACATTGCAGAAGACTGTTCAACCAGCAATCGTTACCCTTATTGATTAAACCTCTTGTTAATTCTTTTCTTAGCAAAGACACGTGCATCTTGTGCGACGCACCAATGGATTTGCTGGATTTCGTACGCTCGCTGTCTTTACTTTGTTTGTTTTTCGTCAACATAATTGTATCCTTGAAGCGGAACTTGTCCTCTGCCGACATATCTAGCCATAATTTAGCTGCCTCTTTCGTTAAAACGCGTTAGGGCGATTTTAGAAGCTCTCTTTTTCTTACTACCTTTATGAAAAAAATTTAAGAATGATGACGGTGGACGTCTACTCTGTGTACATTTATTGATTTCTGGAGTTTCGCTTAACGGAATTGCCGGTGACTGCTGGAATTGTCCAACTTTAGCATTAGTTTTTGGTGTCGATGGAGTCTTTTTCCCCCATGTTTCACTGACTTGTGAATAATCATCAACTTCATCATCTGAAGTGTCATCTGAACTTACGATAGTATTGCTTTCGCTTCTTTTGTATTTTCTTTTATATCGATTTCTTGTGCAGATGTTTTGTCCGATGTTTGCGTCTGAAAATTTTTCAAGAATTTATTGGACGTCTTTGTTTTCTGGTAGGTTTATTAGCAGTTAGTCTATCCGAGAAATCTGTCATTCGTCGCCTAATTCTGTCATAATTTTCCAAAACAAATGCATCAGGACGCAGTCTTCTTTGTTTGGAAAATCTTCTTGTTTTAAGTTTCGCATGACACCTTCCACATAGCCCTCTGTTTTGAGTTTTCTGATTTAAATGAAAGGTACGGATAGTCGTGTAATGTTTCGTAAACTGGATCGTTCTCCTCTATGTATCGGTCTAATGAACCTAAAAGTACACCAGACCACAAAGGCATCTCACAAAGATAAGATTCTATGAATGCAAAAAATTCTGGTGCGTAGCATCTATTATTTGCCTTGCTATGTTTTGCATCTTCCATCGCTCTTTCTTTGACATTTCGTAGCAAGCTATCGTAATGATTTTTGAATGGATTTTGACTTGTATTTCTGTCTGTTTCAGTAAGATCGGCATCATCATCGCCTGCATTTGAAAAGACTCCATGCACTTCAACATGTTCAAGGATTTGTTCTCGTTCCTCCATTGCATGGATCAATTTCCATAAGGTGCTGAACGCGTTTTGGACTTCATCATTTTGAGTCTTATGAAGCAGGCAAATTGCAACAGGTAGAAGAATATGATCAAATTCTTCTTGGGTTCTAGAGTTTACCAACAGCGACACACAATACATGTTAAAGCGATACCACACCTCGTTTGTCGTACTGACTTTGATACGCATAATTGATTTCAAACGCCTATGAATTATGTTCATGAAATGACTGCAGCCAACATGTAAAACCATAAATGCAAAATCTTCGTTTGATGCCATCCTCTGCACAATCCTGAATGCTCGAAGTAAAACTGAGCAAGGGTTTCTCCGTTGAACTCTTTCAGAGCAGCCAATATCAACGCCTTTGAGTAATCTGTATTTAACTGACGAGGTATTCGAACGTTTCCTTTGAAAACGTTTGCCTCATCTCGACGAAACCTCTCAATAAAGGAACGTATGCTGGGAGCACTGTGATCATTTGTTATCATTTCGGCAATCGGCACTGATGGATTTCCTTTCTTTGGGTGTCGAACAATAATTGCATAATAAAGTACTCTTTTGCCCATGAAATCTTGCACAATCGTTCCGGTTGCGTCCATGTATGCAATATCTTTCATGCATAAGTAATGCCAAAGACGCACCTGATCTTCATTCCACATATATACCCAAAGTGGACAAAATGAAATTGCTTGAACAAATCCTTCAATCTGTTTGGGAGGCATCTCGCGCTGTTTTTCTCGCTGAATTAAATCATCCATAGCCATCTTCAAGGAAGTCATGACGTCTTTGTCCAGCTGAGTTTGTTGTCTTCCTTCACTGGCTATTTTTCTCACAGTATCTGGAATTTTACCACATTCATTTCTATTTCCAGCTGCCTTTGCATTTACCGATATTCCCTCTTTTATTTCTTGGTACACTTTTGAAGGTTGGCCAGGTCCTTTGTGAAATTGATTTGCCAGTTGCTTACGTTTGTCACTCTTTATGAACCTAGACTGGCGCTCTCCAGCAGCGTGTTTCACAGATCCGTCATAAGTTACGGTAACTTTCTTGGGAAGAAAGTCTTTGCGAAAGATTTGCAATACAAACTTGCAAGAACAATCTGCAAAGATGCAGTGACCTGTAGCATTAAACACAATCGGCGTATTTCTTTTCCTCGAATTTTCCTTAGCGATGAAATGCCTTTCGAATTGGAAGGTGCAGTAGGCGTTGGATTTTTTCATGTGATCCATCATGATATCCGTCCATGGGCACCGAAGAGTGTTTGGTTTTTCCGTGGTAGGTCTGATCCTTGACCACTCTGCTTCACTCAAAAAAAATGTTGCAGACCTACAAACATCGGCTATAAAGAATGTATTTGGTCGTGGCAAATATGGGCAGTCCATCATTCTCTGGAAAGTTTCGTGCTCATCGGAGCAATAGTTTGATGTGTTGCAATTATTGTTTGGGGTAATATTAGCATATGTTTTGCCAACGTTCTTTTCCTTGGAAGACATCTCATACGATTCAACATCGCTGAATGGTGAAGATGTTGCATTAGCACAGACATTATCCATATTATCTTCATCTTCTGATATTTTCATCGGCTCCCATCCCTCGCTAGAATCACTTTCACAAGTAGAAGGTCTTTTATCAACATTGTCAAGTTTTGCAAAAAATGCTGAGGGAGATGATACTTTTTTATCATTACAATCATCGCGCCACTTGCTTGAGAAGTCAGTCAGTTGTACTTTTCCTCTTCCTTATAATCATAGGAATGACATTTTTGAAATTCGTCAGAGTGATAAATGACTTTCTCAATCGACGGACTACTTTCCATGCTGTAAGATACACGATCTGAAATACATATGTTTTCATCTTTTCATCAATGCACGGTGAAGAAGGATGTAAAAGTACATTACATTCTCTGTTATCGACCACGTCTTCCATTTCTCCATGTGACTCCAGGACACCCTCCTCGTGAATATCATTTGTGCCAAAAACGTGCATTGGATCATTGTCATCAGTTTCTTTGTTTGAAAGTGACAGCAGTTCTTGTGGACGGTATTTATTGCGGGATTTTTTGCTAGCACAACTAGGACAGATATAAGATTTGCCGTCTATACAATTACTGTATTTTTCGAGTTGTTTCTTTGTTTTAAGATGAGGTAAACCAACGCATTCTGGATGATAAAACTCCAGACAACCTTCTTTCTTTTCATCGCACAAAATATAGATTCCAACATCTTCTTTTGACAGAGACACCATAGTTTTGGTTGTTCCTTTCTGGAGTATGGGCTTTCGGTATGCATCTTCTACGTTTTATGCATTTGTTTTCTTTATTGGATTGTGCTAAGGTTTTGACCACATTGTTGGTGTGTCTGCTTGAAACTTCTTTTTGAATCTTGTTTAATGGAAGATGCATCTCCATGTTCACTTTCTTTAGTGTAATGAATATCTCCAGTTAAATGCTTCTGGGTAGTGACCATGTCGAATTCCTCGCTAGCCTCATCACTGTCAGTCGCTGATTGGCCAAAATCATAATGGTCGTTTCCTGCGCATTCACCACTATGAGTGTTAAATGGTCGGGACTCTAAAAATGGCAAAAACTCGCGACCCGACGACGGGTGATGCGCATTATCATTATATTTATTGTCATGGCTAGCTAACAGATCTTCAGCATTTGATAACTAAAAAATGCAAACAAGTGTATTATATTAAATTGAGTGCATCAGAAGAAACACTGATTTAATTTGAAGTATGGTCTGGATTAGAACAAAGCAAATAGTACCATCATTATTAATACTGTAATAAACTATTTCAAGATATTAATAATTAAATATGCTTAAAATAAAAAAAGGCGATATTAATGATTACAACAATATTGAAATATTTACAATTCAACCATTACGTTATGTCTAAAGATCTAAAAAATCAAAAAATTTATATAAAGATTTATATTTGGGCACCTAAAATGGTTAGAATATTCTCTGAACACATGAGCAACCGATTTTAACTTGCATGAACCTTATATTTGTAGACTCAAGTTTCACCTGCCACCGCCCTCCTCACATTACAGCAAGGATATGCGACATCTATTCGACGTAAATATTCTCTTTTATTTTAAAGGCTATAAGCATGCGTCCTATCTATACAGAATGTGAGACTTCCAAGATTACGCGTTTTCAAATCCCTGTCACATTCTACAAAAAAGGTGTGAGGTTCCTAATGACCTTCCCCTCCTCCCCCCACCATACCCCCAACAGGAATGCTGGAAGCGCCGCCAAGAAGAACAAAGAAAAGAAATAGTTAACGCAGTTGATAAATGTGCTACAATACAATGTCTCCATAATCAATGTTCACTGACGTTACGCTCAAAAGATGAATTGACTAAAATTGATTGGACATAAATAGCCAAATATGTAAATAATATGCCAAAAAAACAACGTTTCTTGGACATTTAGACATTTCAGATTAAAAATGAAGTTGAAAAATACGATTGCCGTCAGTCCCAGATTTATGGAAATGCATTACCCAAATCAAAACTTTTTGCATAAATCATTCCCGATAGAGTGTACATTATCAATGTATTTATTTGCATATAGCCACTTAAATACCTTAATTAAAAATTGAATTATTACATAATTTAGTGCAAGTGAGGCATATGTTGCCTATGGTATGGATACACGCAAATTTTATGGAGCTAATCCCTCAAAAATAGTGCAATAGCCTTAAAACAAAGTTAAGCGATGCACACATGTGGGTCCGATAACTATCTAAACTATTCTGCATTTACAAGACGCCCTTCATTACATTGCATGTCACGTGACTGTGCTTATTGAGAAAAGTGAAGTCCAAAGATCGTGCATCGAAAACCATTTTGCTGTGAATACTTTATCCTCAAAACTCTTTTAAAACAATTTTCTGAACTGTACATATTCCACCCAACCGATAATTCAAAACGCTTGTAACTTTTGCGTTTTACATAAATAGGTTAGCGATATTTTCGACGATGTAACTTTTATTTCGTCTTTAAGTGAGGATTAACGCTTCATATAATGCAACTATATATCGATGAATTATGCAAGGTCTTTGTTGTACTGATAACATCACGAAGTACAAAATGCTATAAATTTTCCATCGCAATGCACTGAGCGAGCGACGTATCAAATACAGCAAAATACAACAATCTTAATAACTCAAATGACAAATTGCATTTTAATTTAAGTTCGCAGAAAATTTTGGGCTTGCTTTCGCTTTGAATAATTCTCAAGCACAAACATCGGTTATCAATCAGCGCATGCGCAGAAGATATCACAAATATTCAAACGGTCATTACGTTTTGAAAAATAATTAATTCGTAATCTTTACACAAACAACCAATCAGAAAGTTTAAGATAATTTTCAAACCGCCCAAAATTCATAAACCGTTTACTGTCAAACGAATGATCAATACATGAAATTAAATATCCTTTGCGTACCTCTAATCGCCCATGCTCGATTGCAGATCGCATGCCATTCCGGTTATCGTGCCAGCGAAGATATAGGTTTCTCCGTGCAAGCAATTTGTTTCTAATCCCAAGTTCAACTAAAATTTTCCCCCAGAAGCTATTTGACTTTCTGTAAGAATCGTTTTGGTCGCCAGACACATTTGACATAGCTGCAACAATTGCATTCACGTCAAACGTGTATTTCGATGGACGACCAACAGTGCGCTGAAAAGCACAAACAAATGCAGTGAATGATAAAGGACATAAACGACCGTAAGACAAGAAGAAGCGATAACGTACCTTCATCATTTAGCGTTACACGAAAACGAGAAGAGCACAAAAGATTTAAATATAATCCTGAATTAACTTTTCTCGCAAAAGTAATAATTGCTTCGATAATACAGGAAAACCGTTGACATCAACGATTCAACGGTCAGTCAAGAAAGACGCAAACACAGGATACGACAAAGGTTTTAAACCGTGAAATTCTTAAAATGACGTTTGCATAAATTAGCATAAACTCAACAATTCGACGAAATAAATAAGACACATATGTTCTATATTGCAACAAATTACATAGCACAAAAGTGTTGTTCTTTTCATAAGCCGTAGATTCTCTCCTCGAACTTGTGCCACGATAATCAGAACATCTTTCCAATCTTCAGAATCACATCTTTAAAATGGTACCCAATGAAAATGATTGCAGCGTGTTTACCACTACTTCAAAATCAGACATAAGTACATCTCATTTAAATAACGCACAAATTAATTAACCAAAAAGAAAACTATTTCATAAGCTGTAGAACCGCTTCACGAATTTGGACCAAGATAATAAAACCATATTTGTAATCCTCAGAACAAGATCTTTAAGACGATACTAAACACAAGTAAATTGTAGCGTGTTAACTTCATGAAAATTAGATATATATAAACATGTCAGTTAAGTACCGCGAATATTAATTAACGCAAAAATGCTCTACCTTTCCAAAGCTGTAGAACCGCTTCACGAATTTGGACCAAGATAATAAAACCATATTTGTAATCCTCAGAACAAGATCTTTAAGACGATACTAAACACAAGTAAATTGTAGCGTGTTAACTTCATCAAAATTAGATATATATAAACATGTCAGTTAAGTACCGCGAATATTAATTAACGCAAAAATCTCCACATTTCTCAAGCTGTAGATTCGCTCCTGGAATTTGGCCACAATAATAAAGACATATTTGTAATCCTCATAGCAAGATCTTTAATCTGATACCAAATACGAGTATATTGCAGCGTGTTAACTAGTTCAACACCCGGCATATTTAGACGTTATTGAAATAATGCAACATGACAACTTGCCTATTAATTAACGCAAAATGCTCTACCTTTCCAAAGCTGTAGAACCGCTTCACGAATTTGGACCAAGATAATAAAACCATATTTGTAATCCTCAGAACAAGATCTTTAAGACGATACTAAACACAAGTAAATTGTAGCGTGTTAACTTCATCAAAATTAGATATATATAAACATGTCAGTTAAGTACCGCGAATATTAATTAACGCAAAATGCTCTACCTTTCCAAAGCTGTAGATTCGCTCCTGGAATGTCGGCCACAATAATAAAGACATATTTGTAATCCTCATAGCAAGATCTTTAATCTGATACCAAATACGAGTATATTGCAGCGTGTTAACTAGTTCAACACCCGGCATATTTAGACGTTAGTGAAATAATGCAACATGACAACTTGCCTATTAATTAACGCAAAATGCTCTACCTTTCCAAAGCTGTAGAACCGCTTCACGAATTTGGACCAAGATAATAAAACCATATTTGTAATCCTCAGAACAAGATCTTTAAGACGATACTAAACACAAGTAAATTGTAGCGTGTTAACTTCATCAAAATTAGATATATATAAACATGTCAGTTAAGTACCGCGAATATTAATTAACGCAAAACGTCTCCACATTTCTCAAGCTGTAGATTCGCTCCTGGAATGTCGGCCACAATAATAAAGACATATTTGTAATCCTCATAGCAAGATCTTTAATCTGATACCAAATACGAGTATATTGCAGCGTGTTAACTAGTTCAACACCCGGCATATTTAGACGTTAGTGAAATAATGCAACATGACAACTTGCCTATTAATTAACGCAAAATGCTCCACCTTTCCAAAGCTGTAGAACCGCTTCACGAATTTGGACCAAGATAATAAAACCATATTTGTAATCCTCAGAACAAGATCTTTAAGACGATACTAAACACAAGTAAATTGTAGCGTGTTAACTTCATGAAAATTAGATATATATAAACATGTCAGTTAAGTACCGCGAATATTAATTAACGCAAAACGTCTCCACATTTCTCAAGCTGTAGATTCGCTCCTGGAATGTCGGCCACAATAATAAAGACATATTTGTAATCCTCATAGCAAGATCTTTAATCTGATACCAAATACGAGTATATTGCAGCGTGTTAACTAGTTCAACACCCGGCATATTTAGACGTTAGTGAAATAATGCAACATGACAACTTGCCTATTAATTAACGCAAAATGCTCTACCTTTCCAAAGCTGTAGAACCGCTTCACGAATTTGGACCAAGATAATAAAACCATATTTGTAATCCTCAGAACAAGATCTTTAAGACGATACTAAACACAAGTAAATTGTAGCGTGTTAACTTCATCAAAATTAGATATATATAAACATGTCAGTTAAGTACCGCGAATATTAATTAACGCAAAACGTCTCCACATTTCTCAAGCTGTAGATTCGCTCCTGGAATGTCGGCCACAATAATAAAGACATATTTGTAATCCTCATAGCAAGATCTTTAATCTGATACCAAATACGAGTATATTGCAGCGTGTTAACTAGTCCAACACCCGGCATATTTAGACGTTAGTGAAATAATGCAACATGACAACTTGCCTATTAATTAACGCAAAATGCTCTACCTTTCCAAAGCTGTAGAACCGCTTCACGAATTTGGACCAAGATAATAAAACCATATTTGTAATCCTCAGAACAAGATCTTTAAGACGATACTAAACACAAGTAAATTGTAGCGTGTTAACTTCATCAAAATTAGATATATATAAACATGTCAGTTAAGTACCGCGAATATTAATTAACGCAAAATGCTCTACCTTTCCAAAGCTGTAGAACCGCTTCGAATTTGGACCACAATAATAAAACCATATTTGTAATCCTCATAGCAAGATCTTTAATCTGATACCAAATACGAGTATATTGCAGCGTGTTAACTAGTCCAACACCCGGCATATTTAGACGTTAGTGAAATAATGCAACATGACAACTTGCCTATTAATTAACGCAAAATGCTCCACCTTTCCAAAGCTGTAGAACCGCTTCACGAATTTGGACCAAGATAATAAAACCATATTTGTAATCCTCAGAACAAGATCTTTAAGACGATACTAAACACAAGTAAATTGTAGCGTGTTAACTTCATGAAAATTAGATATATATAAACATGTCAGTTAAGTACCGCGAATATTAATTAACGCAAAACGTCTCCACATTTCTCAAGCTGTAGATTCGCTCCTGGAATGTCGGCCACAATAATAAAGACATATTTGTAATCCTCATAGCAAGATCTTTAATCTGATACCAAATACGAGTATATTGCAGCGTGTTAACTAGTTCAACACCCGGCATATTTAGACGTTAGTGAAATAATGCAACATGACAACTTGCCTATTAATTAACGCAAAATGCTCTACCTTTCCAAAGCTGTAGAACCGCTTCACGAATTTGGACCAAGATAATAAAACCATATTTGTAATCCTCAGAACAAGATCTTTAAGACGATACTAAACACAAGTAAATTGTAGCGTGTTAACTTCATGAAAATTAGATATATATAAACATGTCAGTTAAGTACCGCGAATATTAATTAACGCAAAAATGCTCTACCTATCCAAAGCTGTAGAACCGCTTCACGAATTTGGACCAAGATAATAAAACCATATTTGTAATCCTCAGAACAAGATCTTTAAGACGATACTAAACACAAGTAAATTGTAGCGTGTTAACTTCATCAAAATTAGATATATATAAACATGTCAGTTAAGTACCGCGAATATAAATTAACGCAAAACGTCTCCACATTTCTCAAGCTGTAGATTCGCTCCTGGAATGTCGGCCACAATAATAAAGACATATTTGTAATCCTCATAGCAAGATCTTTAATCTGATACCAAATACGAGTATATTGCAGCGTGTTAACTAGTTCAACACCCGGCATATTTAGACGTTAGTGAAATAATGCAACATGACAACTTGCCTATTAATTAACGCAAAAATGCTCTACCTTTCCAAAGCTGTAGAACCGCTTCACGAATTTGGACCAAGATAATAAAACCATATTTGTAATCCTCAGAACAAGATCTTTAAGACGATACTAAACACAAGTAAATTGTAGCGTGTTAACTTCATCAAAATTAGATATATATAAACATGTCAGTTAAGTACCGCGAATATTAATTAACGCTAAAATGCTCTACCTTTCCAAAGCTGTAGATTCGCTCCTGGAATGTCGGCCACAATAATAAAGACATATTTGTAATCCTCATAGCAAGATCTTTAATCTGATACCAAATACGAGTATATTGCAGCGTGTTAACTAGTCCAACACCCGGCATATTTAGACGTTAGTGAAATAATGCAACATGACAACTTGCCTATTAATTAACGCAAAAATGCTCCACCTTTCCAAAGCTGTAGAACCGCTTCACGAATTTGGACCAAGATAATAAAACCATATTTGTAATCCTCAGAACACGCTCTTTAAGACGATACTAAACACAAGTAAATTGTAGCGTGTTTACCGTATAAAACCGTACTATCTTGAATCCTGTGGTACCTTCACAGTCGACTTTGCACGGCTGTAGATTCGCTCCACGAATTTGGACCAAGATAATAAAACCATATTTGTAATCCTCAGAAAACGTACTTTCGGATGTTACCAAACACAAGTATTTTCCAGCGTGTTTATTTCTTGAAAATTAGGCCTTTTTAGATGTCAACATTTATGCATTGTAAACATCGCGCAATTATTTAAAGTAAAGAGACAAAAGCGGAAGTAGTCTTTAAAAGGCTGTAGATTTGCTCCAAGACTTTCGACCAAAATAAAAATAGTATAATCCTTGTCTAAATAACTTGGTCTTTACAACGGCACCAAACACGTGTGCATCTTTTGCTTTTTTGTAGCAAAAAATACGGTTTTTTTCTATTTTGTTTCTGAAACTGATGTTATTTAATAACATTAAAATGAATGTGGTGTCAACTTCACACTTTATGCTAATTTTGAATGTTGTGGTGAATCCTGTGGTGAATGTAAGGATGAATGTCAGGATGAATGTCAGGATGAATCCTGTGGTACCTTCACAGTAGTGTAATATTACTCATAATTTATTCAAATGAGAGATGCGTGGGTAATGATTTCATTTTACTATTATATTTATATCCTTAATTTAAAAAAAGGGATTTTCTCACAACAATTCACTCGTGCCTGATAAACTATCAAAATATTTATGTTTGAGTATGTTTTCTTTTAAAAACAGATTTCACCATTGTCAACGCCTGGAATCAAAATCAGCGAAGCAGATCGTGAAAATATGGATTCAAAATTTATATGTAGTCATTGTCATTACCTCCTTGTCAATCCTTTACAGACCTCGTGTGGACACTTGTTTTGTAAATCTTGTATCGACATCTTGTTTGGGTTAGATAAACTTAAATTCTTAAGTTAAATTTTCTCCAAATCATCTTTGAAATAATATGAGCATTAAAGATGGTACTTGTCATATTTACACTTTCAATGATACCCTGATTGCAATATCCTGTCACTTATCTCAATGTTGTATAATATATCTGAATGTTGTATCCTGTTTGGGCTCTATGGGAACATTTATTGAACATAATTCCTAAAGAAATGCTGTTAGAATATTATTGAAATAAATAGAGATTCCACATATGTATCTCTTTGTTATATCTCATATCTCAATGTTGTATCACATATGTCAATGTAAGATAATATTAATCCTGACACAGTTTATATGCACATGAAAAACATGTGACTTGGAAGAGATTCGAACTCGCACCTTCAGGATACTAGGTATAGCTATGTTATTCTCTGATGTTGGCCTTGGAATAAATATCCCAATGTTGTAACACATATGTCAATGTTGTACCACATTTCCCAATGTTGTAACACATATCCCAATGTTGTATCACAAATCTCAATGTAAGATAATTTTTAACCCTTAAGAGGTTTTAGCAAATCTTGTACCAAATGAAATCAAAACCAGCTAAGGAGAAAGTTTGCTACATTAAGGATTTTTATCCTAATTTTTTTCCTATTATACATAACTGCAATTTCAATTTCTATGCAAAATTCTTGATATCATGTTAGTTTAAGTAGTGCCTCAAAATTGTTATTTAGGTTTTTTGACGTGATAGTTAGAAAGTAGAAACAGTTGCCTAATCTTGCTCAAAATAACAACTGATTTTAAAGGGAGGGAAATTTGTCAGACATGCATGAATGAATTTTGCTCCCTTTTCCTCTAGGCACCAACTGTGGAACAGATTACCACATTGTTTGAAATTCACCATTTTTTAACAGCTTTTATATTCCTTTCATTTGTAGTGGTCCTAATCCAAAATGTCCTGAAGATCAGGAAAAGTTGAGCAAGAATGAGGTAGGTGGAAATATTTCAAAGTTTTAACAGTTCAATCTACTAGGTGGCTGAAATTCACCATTTTTCCTGTTGCTTGTAAATATATACAGTAATAAAAATTTGTCTTCTTGTCTTAGCTATGTTGCATCCATATTGTATTTACCAAAGTGACCAATGGCTCCCAGACATATTGAGAGGTATATTATTTTGTCAATTGCCATGAAATTTTGATCTGCCCACAGTTGGCGTGTACTATATCCTCCTTGCACCAACTGTCATACAAATGATTCTGCTGGTAGGACACCAGGATATTCACATGAAAGTTTCCATAAGAAAGCGTTGATAACCTATAACAATCAGGCACATTTACCATTTCAACATTTGTCTCTGATGCATGATAATCATGTAAGCTGTAGAGTGTTTAATCACTTGACTTACTGTATCACTAAGCCATCTAGGTGCCACAGCGTCCGTTGTGCGCAATGTCTTAATCTATTAAACGGTTTAAATGTATCAACAACGGTAGTCTTGCGTTGGAGTTGCCATAAAGTAAACTTTCGTACAAAAAACAAACTATACATATTTTGTCGATGCGATTTTCCAGTAATTGAGCGCTTTTTGATACACTTTCACCTAGGAAATACATATTTATGAAAGCGATTTAATATACAACGTATAAATAATGCCTTGCAAACGTGCTATAGGAAATAAATGCCCCTTATATATATTTGAATTATTAAAGTGACAGTTGCACTGTGTTACGTATATGTGTCATATTATGCATACAATTTCTGATTACTTTTAATTTTTTCAAAGTTCTAGCTGATGTAATTTAGTCTTTGAACTGCAAAATCAGTATCATAAATACTTAAGACATTGCGCACAACAGACACCAAATTTAACTGAAACATACAAATGAATGTAGTATGCGAATAAAATACCTTTTCAGCATTTAAATCCATCAAATTGTTGCCCCAGAGTCCAGACAAATACAAGCAAATGTGAATGCAAATATCATTGTATTATTGAAGAAATTGTGCTATTTCTCATTTGTGACAAGTATATAGTCGTATATCACTCGTATGTACTCGTATGTACTCGTATGTACTCACATGTACTTGTATGTCAGTCGTATGTACTCGTATGTCAGTCGTATGTACTCGTATGTACTTGTGTGGTGTTTTAGTCACGATCGAAGGAAGCTCGTTTTAAATTCGTGATGAAATTTAATTTTTGCAGTCGATACCATATTGTATTTTGTTGTAGGTTGTTAGAGATATTTTGTCTAGCACATAAGCAGGTCCTTGCTCTTCTAGTAAAGACACTTTTGGAGCTGAAAGTGCAACCTCTTTGGAAGACAGTGATACTGATGTTGAATTTGTTGATGATGTCTTGCGAGTTCAAACAATTGCAGTACAAGCAGAAGTACAGGTATTGAATTTATTCCAATAATTTATTCAAAAGACTTTTTACACTAGTAGATTGTAAGATCTAAAGATTATATCTTTTTTTGTAAGTTCAGAATGGGTTTTGCCAAATTGAAGAAGAATACTGCAGGCAATGTTTTCAATACAAAGAAAGCACGAGGCAATTGAAGCGAACGATAGAAAGCAAGAATGCTATTATCCAACAACTTACTGAAGGTAAATTGTTTCATTACATTCAATTTGGTATCTTCAAGAACAAATATTCTTGTGGTGTCTCTATGTCATTTAAATAGATACATGGCTGTAATTGAATTACTTAAATATGAGTATTGTAACACCTGTGTATATCATGATTTCATAGAAAAAAAGAAATTACGTAAACTGGTTGGAACAGTAGTAAAATGTGTCAAGGTGGATAATCAGAATGAGGAAGAAAAGCAGGATGGTAGTGATGATGATAACATGGATATGGATATTGACATTGGTAGTGAGATGGAAAATAAAGGTGAAGTTTGATTTCAATGCTAATAGCGGAAATTATATACCACAAATTTTATTAACATATAAATATGGTCCATAGGTTCTGACAACTATGACATTGAAACTGATTCTTCCCAAAGTGAAGAGCTAGAATCTGAAGATGAAACAAACCAGTCAAAAAAGTATGATTGTGTTGTACATATGCATTATTTAGTCTTCCAGTGTTATCAATCATTTTATCTGTGTCTCACGACAGACAAAATATAATATATACATCTATTGTTCTAACAATCGGGGTGAACAAAGAAGAAAGGGACCTCAGGAAGCAATCAAAGTTATTGTCACCTTGTCACAGCTATTGCTCCAAGTATGTCCATCATGTGGTACTGATAAGCCAATAGTTGAAGTATCAAAAGTTGGTACTATGGCTGATGTAAACATGTTATGTGGCAACCTTAGTTGTAAAAATAGAGAGCACAAGTGGAAGTGACAATCATTTCTGCCAGGTTCCCGTATTCCAATGGGAAACTTTCTCCTCTCATTTGCCATTTTATTGTCTGGAGCTTCTGCTAGCAAAGTACTTTGAGTATTCACACACATGGGTCTTCAAGGCATATCTTTGACCACATTCTTCAAACGTCAATGGGTAAGTGGGTTGTTGTGATTTTCCTGATTCCCAAGGTTTGAAGTTGTGTTTTTTGTATTCATTTGATATTTCTTTATCAGGAATTGCTTTTTCCAATGGTCAGGATCCATTGGAGGAAATAGAAGCTGGCCTTGTTGGAAACAATTTAGAAGCAGAAGAAAACAGTGGTCATTGCAGGAGATGGCAGACATGACAGCATGGGCCATTCTACAAAATATTGTTCTTACACAATATTTTGTTGCCTTGTGCCCATGATTCTCCATTTTGAACTAATTCCAGTATGTTTTGTATGACACATTGAGGGTGGCTATATTTACCCCACCCCACTTTGTATGACACATTGAGGGTGGCTATATTTACCCACCTCCTACTTTGTATGACACATTTAGGGTGGCTATATTTACCACACCCCCTATTTTGTATGACACGTTGAGGGTGGCTATATTTACCCCCCTCCTTGTATGACACATTGAGGGTTGCTTATTCCCTACTTTGTATGACACATTGAGGGTGGCTATATTTACCCTTTGTATGACACATTGAGGGGTTATTTATATTACTTTGACATTGAGGTGGCTATATTTACCCCACCCCTACTTTGTATGACACATTGAGGGTGGCTATATTTACCCCTACTTCCCATGTATGACACATTGAGGGTGGCTATATTTACCCCACCCCTACTTACTTTGACACATTGAGACACATTGAGGTGGCTATATTTACCACCCCTACTTTTATGACACATTGAGGGTGGCTATATTTACCCCACCCTCCTGCTTATTATGGCTAATGTATGATGGTGGGATTTTGTTCGAGAGGTTTTTGTAATGGGAAGTATGCCTTCTCATATTTCCAACCTATATATTTTAGACACAAATTGTCTAGAGGCAATAGTCTCTGCTACATTTTGAGAGATGCAGTGTAAAGCTAGCTCAGGAAGGCAGGGATACAACTTTGTTAACTTTAACTTAGGACACATGTAAATATTTTTCTGTTTAAATCACAATTATTATTTTAGAGAAACGAGGCGGGAAGTAGTCCAGCCATGGAATACATTGGTTTTCAAAGATGTATGGATTACATGCTGAACTGTAGACTCAATATTTCTACCATGGTGACAGACTGCCACAAATCAATACAGAAGCACATGCGTGAGAATCTGAATCAAATAACACATTATTTTGACCTATGGCACATTAAGAAAAGTTAGTACAGTTATTGCATAAAAGATGTAGGTTGTGTTCTGTTTCGTCATTGTGGCTAAGTTAGATAGAACTTTCCTTTGTTGATCATCCGATGCAAATCTATGCACTAAAATGTTGTTTTTATTTTCTTTTAACAGATAGAAGCACGAAGAAATAGTGTGTGAAAATTATCGAGTGGTTTGTAAGTATTGTATTCAAATGATACCAAGGAAAGATATTGAACATCATGAAAGTACAACTTGTGATGAAGTGCCGACGAAATGTGAATTTCAAGCCATTGGATGCAACCATGATAAAGTAAGAATGTTTGAACTGATTTATAATTTTATGTCAGCAGTAGTAGATGCGTAGTAGCTCCCACCGACAATCTTGCATTTGTTCTTTGCATAAAAAGATTTTACGTCAAAAACCCTTGAGATGATAATATGGTATAAAAATGCTTAGAAGTTTTAAAATTTAAAACAAACAAAGTTAATAACGTTGACTTTGTAGTTTAATGCATCTGCATCAGGTTTACATGAAGTACACATTTATATATTCACCCATTTACAAATTTATAAATTCAGAACATATGATTATTAAGATACACTTGATGGTTTACCCAAGCTAAGGAGCTAGAGCTTTCCCGATAAGCAAGTTGCAGTAAATATAATTCAATCTGAAGTATCAACGTACTTTGTACTCCTTACTTTACACGTATATGGAGACTGGGGGGACTGGGAAAGGCTTAGACGTGGCAAAAAAAAGAAATTTCTCGTTTACTTTTTATATAAATAAAATATAAGTTAAGTAACGAGATTTATTATGATACATAATGTCTTAGTCATAAATAAAGATTGAAATGAAATAACCAGTAAATAGCATCAAATATTTTGTTAAAAGAATGTGCTGGCTGTATCTTTTTCTCACTTCACAGACTTTAAAACGAAAGGAGATCAGACAACATATGAATGACACTCCAATTAATCACGTGAGCCTCTTGTTACGATATGTTATGGCATTTGTTATACTGCTTGATAACTTCGTAGTACGTCCAGATGTTAGATGGCAAAATTACAGTTCAGGAAAGAATTGAGTGTCTCGAGGGTCGTGGTAGTAGCAATAGTTATAACACCCAGTTGTCCCAAGAGGTTTCCTTGTTGCGTGAAAGAATTTCAACACTTGAGCGAAAAGCGAGAGACGATTCTTCCACTATACAACGGTTTCGTAAGCGTTTAGATCAAATAGACGAATCAATAGTGAGAAACATGGTGAACATTACGAACCTTGAAGCGCAACGTGAAGAGCGCGCACTGGGATCAAATCAGGTAATACACAGCCACAATGGTACGTTACTTTGGAAAATAGACAATTTCTAGAAGAAGAGACAGGACGCCATTAATGGTGTTAAGAATGCCTGGTACAGTCCACCATTCTACAGTTTTCAATATGGTTACAAGATGTGTGCTAAGATCTATATGAATGGTGATGGTTTTGGAAAGGAAACACATTTATCTTTGTTCTTTGTTATCATGAAAGGTAAAGCTATTTTTAACAGTTTCTACTTAAGCTGCCTCAAAATTTTTAAGTGGATTTTTACAGGTATAAAATAGGCTGTCCAAGATGATGGCAAAAATTGCGTTCAAATTGAGATCATGTAATTTGACTGCTCCAGAGGCATAATATCTAAGAGTACAGAATACGTCACGTGACTCGCTGTGCTTTTTGGAATAGATAGGATTACAAGTTACATGTCTAGTTGGAACAAATTGTTGAATAATGTTGAACATGGTATGAAGAATATATAGCCAAATATTTTTATTTTCAATTCACAGAAAAGCAGACTAAAGCTTACAATTGTTTGTTTGTGAGATGTGATACTATTTAGTTTTTTTGATCATGTACAAAATAAATGACGATAGAAGAGAAAGATATGCCTTGGGATTTATTAAGACTTATGTCATATTATTATAAAAATTTATATTGTGTATGATATTATTTCTAGGTGATTAGGATGCTCTACAAACATGGCCATTGCAAAAGAAGATCACAATGATGTTAGTGGCTCAAGGAAATGGTGATCACATGATTGATGCTTTTCATTCAGATCCTCGAAGTTCCTTATTTCAGCGACCATAGTCTGATTTGAATCTATTTGGATTGCCAGTTCTAATTTGGCCGATAGAGAGTTTAAGCAATCTTCCGTTCATTAAGTATGATACAATGTTCATTAAGTTAATTGTTGAATGAACAAAATCTAAATACACTCGCTCCTGCTTCTATCTTAGACACTGAAACTATCTCAATTCTTTATCAATCTTAAATTAGCTTTATACTTAGACAAAGCACCGAGCTAAACATGTTGCAAACAACTTTCCTAGCTCTTTCGTAATTTTCAGTTGTTTATACAAAACGCTATTTTGTTGTAAAGCACTCAAATTGTTTATATAAGTTTTTTGTTTGCTTCTGGCCAGCATATCCACAGTAAAGGAATATACAACAGTAGGGCCACTTGTGCAATTGGCTGCTGTATATTTAATTAGTTTACTGGCTGCCGTTTGCCATATCATCAATCCTATTGGTCACAAATGCAATTTACTGGCTGCCAATTGCATGTTTTAAGAAGAAACAATTATTTTAAGAACTTAGCATGGCAAAACAAGCACTCAAATCAATACCAGCTTCCCAAACTATTGAGATTGCTATATCACTGTTGGGCACAATCATTATGACTCTAGGATGCTTTGACACTTCTCACATTTCATTTGTAATAAATATTTGATGAACCCACAAATTTTTTGTAAGATACATCAACACATTCTGTATCATCTATTTCTGGTACATCAAATTCTATAAAAATAATGTTAATAAGTCAAAATATTGTAATTACTAATTAACAAACTTTACAAATAAACCAGCATCGAGAAAACATACTGAGGAACAGCAAGGTAACCATGCCAAAGGTTTTAGTCCAACTATATAATTTTACATTGAACATGAAAATACCCTTCTTTGATGGTAAACAGTTTACAGTTTAACTTGCCAGATGGAAAGTCTTGTACACACTTACATATGTAAATTGTTGTAATTTAACTTGTCAAAGAAAAAATATCTACAACATCAGATTGACATGTATTTTGCAGGTGATCACAGCAATATGATACTGGCAGCTATTCAAGTTAACTTGAAAGAACTTTCTTTTTCAAAATATAAGTCTTTTGGACAAACTTGAAGCTTATTTGTTTCTTACAATCAATATTCGTTCAAGGTTACCTTAACTTGTGGACTGTTCCTGTCAGTAGGGTGTAGCTAACTAAGCTAAATCATATCACTCATATGTGCATGCTATTGTTAGTTTAGTATAGTAATTTCTATCTGTAAAATAGTGTACTAGAGTTGATGTTTGCTCATTAAGATGCATTTATGACCAAAGGGAATGGATAAGCACTCTTGTTTATCTTTTCAAAAAGCAAGCAAAAGTATAGGTCTCCTAAAAGCTAACATAGCCTTCAATACATAAATTAGCCACTGGATTGGCCTATGTATTTCAGTATTTGTAATTTTATAACTTAAGTATAATGTGTAAAATTACTTACCAGTATCATTGTTTTCTTTCATTTCAGCAATAATGCGAACCACGCAACTTAATATTAAAGTTTAAATTGAATTAAAAAAAATTCAATGAGAAGAGCATACACCTTACAATAAACGATTGAAGATATCCAAAACTTCGCGGGAAGTAGATTGTGGTAAATGATAGGTTGCGTGGTTGCGACCAGGCAGGCAAGTCACCAGGCCTGTTGAATGGACGTTCAAATTGACTTATAGAGTCAATTTGAAGGTGTTTCACAATTAGCGTATTGAGTTAATTTAACGAAGAGACTGGGTTTGATTGATTATAAATGGTGTGATAGCAACAAATGTTACACACCCTTTCCTCCCTCAACCAAAAGTTTTGCGTTATATGTAATTTTGTACAAACAGGAAAGTTCGAATACAAAATATAACTTCAATGAGCCATTTCCGTTTCCGGAGAATAGGAGATTCAATTTTGACACGTTTAAGGCACGTGAAAACATTCACTTTTATGACGAGTTTCACGTGCCTTTACTGTGTCTGATTTAAAAATGATCATAAATCGTAATAACATTGTCACAAATGCTGCTAGGGCAACCAGCTGAACACCAATTAGAAGATCATAAATAATCATGTGCATTCACGACTTGATGTGATTGGGCGCATTAGGGCGGATCAATTGATTGCACCTACTTAGTCATTGACTGCCCTCCTTTATATTTGTATGTTTATACAATAAACCGCAGAAATAGACCGCAGCATTTAATGAAAGGTTAAACTGTATCAATTATTAATAGTTCAAAAGTCTACACGCGACCGACTTACCATGCCGCGTCTTTAAATGAAGTAAACAAGGACTTTGAAATCTCATTAATATCGATATCTACTCCTCCGCGTGTTGTTTTGTGAGAGGGTAAGCGTGTTTATATTGCTTGTCGCTGCGTTCATACTATTTGTTGTTCGTTTATAAGGCGATATTTTTACCAATGTTTGTATCGATTAGTTCTGTGAATGAAAGGATTAGGATTTAGCTCATTATAGTCATGTTGATTTTATCATTATCACGTTTGTATTGTTTATCTAAGCTGAGTTTAATGATTCTTTTGAGGCCTTGATTAACTATTTATTTGTTGTGGTAAAGCATGGCAATGTGTAAATTGTAATTACGTACAAACAAGTACATCGGTATTTATCTCAGCTATATTGTGATTAGCACCATTATCTTATCGAATTAGTTGAGTTGAGCGTGCATCGAAGTAAATTCTTTGTGTTCGTTCAAGCGAAAAATAATGCGTGGAATTTATTTTCTAAAAATGTAAACGATAATTTTGTCAAAAAATTTGCATAGTACGAGTAAAAGTTGCGGTCAGCTTCGCTACTGTAACACAAACAATGAATTTCAGCGTCTAGACAAGAAAGCTGTTAATTGTTTAAAATCACAGGACAAATGAGAATATACACAAAACAGTTGATTACCATATCAATTGCTATAGTTAGTACACACAATCAAGGACTTAGCAAACTCACTTGAGGTATATAATGTTATGTTAGGACAGACACATATCATTGCTGCTGCGTCTTGAAATGTGTACCGTGTATACGAAATAAATGGACTTTGAAACCAACTCAGCCGGTTGTTGTGTTTTGTGAGAGTTTATTTCTTGCGCTGCTTTCATATTGTTTTATGCGTTTGAAAAGCGACATTGTTAGTAATGTTTGTATAGATTTTTACAGTCCATACATACATACATACATAGCTCATTATCACTGTTGACTTGAAAATTGAAACATTTATATTTTTATTTATGCTGTGTTTTATAGTTCTTTTGTCTTCAACCTCAGAAGACTTCATGCCAAGACCAAAGTCACGAGGCACTCCTGCGTGAATTTCTCCAGCAGATGACTGTGCACTAGCCGCCACTCCCATGAAGACATCCAGTGCATAAATGACCGTCAGCAACTGCATGTGATCGCTGGGCTGACCATCAGCCTGGGCAAGACTGAGACCCTGGTCCAGCTTCCACCATCCCAGACTCGTGACACCTCACCACCACCTCCTGTCATCATTAACCACACCAACATCAAGACTGTTGACAAGTTCTCATACCTTGGCAGCACCATCAGCAACAATGGTTCCCTGGACGCAGAGTAGCTCGTGTGCAAAGCCAGTGCTGCTTCGGCAGACTAAAGAGAAGACTCTGGCAGGAACACGGCATCAAGATCGTCCACCAAAATTGCTGTGTACAGGGCTGTGGTCCTGAGTGTTCTGCTGTACTGCTGTGAAACCTGGACCACTTATCGCGGCACATACAACAGCTGGAGCAGTTCCACCAGCTGCCTGAGAAAAAATCCTCCGAATCAAGTGGCAGGACAAAGTGTCCAACCTTGTAGTCCTTGAAAGTGTGGACTCTCCAGCATTGAGAGCTTGATCATCAAAGCTCAACTCGATGGACAGGCCATGTAAGTGGGATGGATGACAGCAGAATCCCAAAGATGGTGCTGTATGGTCAACTACAAGACGGGAGCCGTGTACAAGGAAGACCGCTGAAGAGATACAAAGACACCCTTAAAGCCAACATCAAGAGCTGCAATATAGACCCAAACACCTGGGAGGAGTTCGGGAGACAGACTGCAGTGGAGGCATTTATGCTCCCAGGGCGTTGAATTTCGAGCCGGTAGAGCAGCCATTAAGGAGAAGAGGGCTCGAAAGGAAACAACGCTCTGCCCTCTTGTCTCGTACCCTGCAGGGTTTGCGGACGTTCGTGCATCACAAATTGGCCTCCATTCACACATGAGGTCCCACTCTCGCAGATAGACCTGCATGCCTACTCATCTGTCGCCCCGACAGGAGAGTCCATACATACATACATACATAGCTCATTATCACTGTTGACTTGAAAATTGAAACATTTATATTTTTATTTATGCTGTGTTTTTATAGTTCTTTGTGGCTTTTGATTATAGTTCTTTGTTATGGGAAAACATGCCCACGTGTGATTTATAATAAAATACAAAATTTACATGTAAAATCTTGTATCATCACCGCTATATTGCTATTATTACTATAATTTGATTATTAAACCCTATTAATTAAATATAGTATGATGTATTAAGTACAATACAAGATTATAATAGGGATAATATGTTACAATGATAATACATATTATAGTATAAAACAAATTTTGAAAAACAAGACATCTTGAGATTGCAAATATGAATCAAAACAAGACGAGAAGTGAACTGTAAATATTCGACTCGAAAATTAGCAGTTCACTTGTTCTGAATCATATTGTACTCTCATAGATGTCTCTTTCGAATTCTTTTACCATATTTTTAAATTGTCAACTGGTCATGGTTTTAATACATACTAATTTGAGTAAACTATTTAACATACAACAATTCATTGATATTTTAAACACTCTGTACAAATTTTCCCATTGTTCCTTCCCTTTTCTACAATGGCAGAGAAGATATCATAAAGCTATATACTTAAGGCCGAATTATGCCGCTCGCGACCATTGTATTTATAATGAGTGCTAAGTGCAAACACGTTTCTGGTGTAGAACATATTATCTGGTTAATATCACATCATCAACTTGTCAAGTATTTGCCGAGCTTTAAACCGTCAAAAAATTTCTCTGACAAAAACAGGTTCACTTCTAACAAATATAATCATATTGATAAAACGATGGAAATACGACGCATTATTTGATAAAATTTGGAGCCGCACTCAAGAAAACAGGTTCGCGTACCTCAAATTTGGAGTACCGTGCCAAAATTGATTACCGTAAACGGGCCTAATATCATCAACTTGTCAAGTATTTGCCGAGTTTATAACACAGAATAGATACATAATTATGTATCTATTCTGTGTTTAAACTCAAAAAATTTCTCTGACAAAACAGGTTCACTTCTAACAAATATAATCATATTGATAAAACGATGAAAATGCGACGCATTTTAGGGGATTCAAAATTATCAACTTTGACAGGCAACTAATTGTGACAGTAACGCTCCCTCACGCAGACCGCAGTCAAAGAACATCAACAAATTTTTGTGTTTTAACTCCTCCAGCGATGATTATAATCTAATAGCACTGAGGCGTAAAATAAAATATCCCCCGCGACTACAGTTCGTTTGTAAACATTACTCTCGAAACTACGGTAAATTGATGGAGTTATGAGTTGATCGAATACTGACATAATAAGGAAATTCGTTTGAACACAAGGTGTTTAAAAAACACTAGTTCTTTTAATAACGAATTTGCGTAATTTAAATGAAAATTAATCGATCTTCTTCCAGTTGTGCAAATTCTTAACTATAATTATTCATTTATCTCTAAAGTGTGAAAAGATTTACCCTCATCCAAGATGCCAGGAATCAAAATACGTGATGAAGATCGAGAAAAATTCACTCAAGGTATTTTGTGGTTACTGTAATCTTCTCATGATCAATCAATCCAAACCTTCTCTTGTGGACACTTGTTTTGTCAAGCTTGTTTTGACATCCTGCTCGGGTAAGACATTTTATTGTTTAAGTTTACAACCTTTTGATATATTAATCCTAACACGGTTTATTTTATATGCACATGAAAACATGTGACTTGGACGAGATTTGAACTCGCACTTTCGGATAGTAGTCCGCCGCTCTACCCGTTGAGCTACCAAGCCCATAGGGATTGGAGACGAGTCAAATCTTTTTTGTGACTGCTTATTTGCACTTATCACAGAAACATTATTGTTGCTTATCCTAATGCTGAGTGACATATCTCCATCAATGCTTTATCACGTATCCCAATGTGGTCTCCTATATTCCGAAATCGTAGGATAAATTTCAAAGTCGTCTCATATATTCAATGTTTTGCCAACATAAGTCAACTCATATCATACACCTCATGTTAATTATATGTACGCCTCGATTGACTTTTCAACAAAACGCAAACAGGAAGTACTCCTTGTTTAAAGTGTCATATAGGTGTCAAACTGGAATGTAACTTCGTCTCTAGCCGTTCAACATGTTCATCAATTATATACCCAGTGCATTTAATAGTTCGTGCGCCCTGTGAGAGTTGGAAAACAAAATTGTACTGTTTACTACATGAAACGACCTGCTCTTACTTTCTCAATCGAAAATATAAAAGCAAAAATTCAGCGCTTACGTAATTTACCAGTTGATACATACTGGTGGTCGCGTTACAACAATACAACTTTAATGATAGGTAGGGTTTGCAACCGTAAATGAAATCGGAAATGAGCAATTACACAATTACAAAATTGATGGACACTTAGAAAAAATGGTGGAGAGCCTATAAAAGATATATAGATCATTCTAAGTTTTTACTAAAGGGCTCTTTTCACATACTCAGTGTTAATGCTGGAGAGTCAAATATCAAACTAACAGGGAAATTCTGCTTTTGTATATATTTTACCATTTAATGATGTATATAATTGTTTGTGAAATCAATCACGCCAACCAAACACATGAAACTCTAGTATTACAGATAAAAATATAAATTAACTCTATACATGTTTGTAAATGTCTCTGGGTGAGGAATATTTTTTATCCCGCTCATTAGATGAAACTAAAACGCGACTACTATCTTACGACTAAAACATTCCATAACATTCCTAGACGAATCACGACTGAGACGATAGTATCAAGTGTCGAGGCTGTCCTAGCGTATCAAAGAGACTTGTCAGAGACATTCAAAGACGAGATCAGAAGCAGGATAGCCTCCACTTACAATCATCCTCTATACGTGACAACAACTGACAAGCACGAACAACAAGCACTCAAACGACTAAAACATGACAACAACATCGTCATTTTACCAGCAGACAAAGAACGCGTGACTGTGGTCATGGACAGGAATGATTGCTTTAACAAAATGGACACCCTTGTAACGACAGACGACGTATTTACTATCTACTCAGATGTTCAGTACCACGACCACCCAGACTATACGGACTACCAAAACTTCACAAACCACAAATACCCATGCGACCAACAGTGGCGTAGCTAGCGGTCTGGCTGGTCGGGCCCAGCCGACCAAATATTTTCCAAAAATGAAAAATTTGTTTTCTTTAAAATTGGATTTGAAAATTTTAAATTCTGCGACTCTTTTTGGAATAATCCACAGTCTATTAGTGTAATATTTGTCAAATTGCGTCGTTATTAGCAAAATTATCATATTTTTAAACGTTACTTAGCAACAATGACAGTGCATTTCTAGTGCCAGGCATTACACAGTTTAGTCGGGCTCTGAAAATTCAGCCCGACCAAGTAGTAAAATCTATAGTGGGATTATCTGCAATCTGATTGGTTGACAGCAACTGAGCAAACTCAAATGCGCTGTTTCGCAACATCTAGTCGGGCTCTGAAAATTCAGCCCGACCAAGTAATAAAATCTATAGTGGGAATATCTGTAATCTGATTGGTTGAGAGTAGCTGTGAACACACTCAAACGTTTAACAACATCTAGTCGGGCTCATTTTCAAAGCGTGACTGGAATTTTGAGCTTTCGAAATATACGTTCGGAAATCGTGATAACTTACATTACAATGGCTTCGGCTAATGAAATCGATATAATAAGTGAACTACAAAGAAACCTTTTCTGTTCGACAGTCAGGCGAGCAAAATATACTCGTAAAGCAGCGGCCAATTCCAAATTTACAAGCGACTACAGGCAATAGAAGCTTTCAGGAAAGTTGGTACTCAAAGAAAGATTGGCTTTGTGGTAGCTCAGAAAAGAATGCATTGTTCTGTTGGCCTTGTCTTTTGTTTTGCCCTGGATCGTCATCTTCATGGACGCAGACGGGATTCAAAAACATGAAGAATTTCCTATCCGATTGTAACTATGAGAAGGCAAAATCGCACATGGGTGCCTACAAGACCTGGAAGACCTACGGTTTTCAGCCTCGTATCGACTGTCTCATGTCACAAACTAGACGTGAAGAGATTCAGCGTCATAACGAGGAGGTAAGGCAAAAAGGGAAATGTTGAAACCATAACAGAAGCTGTTTTATACTTGTCTAGGCAAGAGCTTGCATTTAGGGGCATGTGAATCTAGTAGCATGAATAGAGGAAATTATAGAGAGCTACTTGAAAGTTTTGCCAAGATGAGTTCTGTTTTTGAAAGGCGATTACATGGAAGGCTTGCTGAAACCCACCTTGCTGGGGGAGGTGGTTTACTGGAGTCTCTCCTGATATTCAGAATGATTTGATTGATTGTCTTGATAAGATAATAGAGGATGAGATTTTAAAGGAAATATATTGCTGCACTTTCTTAAGTATACAGGTTGATGAGGCAACTGATGTTTCTACCAAAGAACAATTGAGTGTAATTGTTCGAATGGACAAAGGGGGAAAGTGTCATTGAAAGACAGCTTGGGTTTGTTGATGTTAGTTGTGATAGGACTGACACTGCTATATCATCAGTGGTTAAGGGTAAGTTAAGTCAATATAATAATGTGAAAAAGAAATTTATTGGACAGACTTATGATGGTGCATCTGTTATGTCTGGTCATCTCAATGGTGTTCAAGCTCAAGTTCAGCAGGATTATCCTTATGCTCAACTTGTTCACTGTGTTGCCCATAGACTAAATCTAGTATTATGTCAAGCTGCATCCTCCATCTCACCTGTTAAGATTTTCTTTGTTAATATTAGCACCTTTACTGGCAATTCCCCCTAAAAGAAAAGCTTTACAATCATCCCATAGGCTTGAGTTTCCTAGTTCTGGTGACACAAGATGGTATTATAGGGCTCATGTCATCAATGTCTTGCATTCTAACTATGAGAAACTGATAGACATATTTGAAAATCTTACTGATAATCCAATAGGTTGGGATGATGAAACGTTAAGTAAGGTTACTGGTTTACTTGGCTACCTTAATGGCTTCTTGTTTTGTTTGTTGGTACATGTTTGTCAGAGAATTCTTGAGCAGTCATCCGTACTTTATTCTATCTTGCAAGAAAAGGACACTGACTTTCATTATGGAATGAGTAGGTTTGAGAGATTCAAGGCCTTTGTTGCTTCTCTGAGAAATGATACAGAATATTGTCAGGTGTGCAACCTGGCTGTTGAGAAAGTGGGACCACCAGTAACCAGGTATGACCAACGGCATAATTACAAACAAATGTATTTTGAAATTCTTGACACAATTGTGACTATGCTGACTGAGCGATTTCAGGATATGGAGCGTTTTAGATTTTTGACCTTGTTAACCCTAGGGTGTTTAAGATGTGGAAAGGTGAAGTGCCCTCAGAAAAGATAAATCTTCTAAAGGAGGTTTATGGTGATATGTTTGACATACCAATGCTAGTTAGCCAACTTTGTTTTATTTACAGAGATAAAGACTTTCACTGTGATTCATGCGATGAATTATTGAAATATATTTTCAGTTCCATTATCAATCTAGTATTCCAGAAGTTAAAGATAAATGGGGTTTTGTCAATTACAAGTGCTTCAGTTCAGAGGTCATTTTCTTGTTTGAAGAGGGTAAAAATTATCTTAGAAATACTTTGAGCCAAGGACGTTTTAGTTCTCTTTGCAGGATTTCCATTCACAAAGACATACTGTCAGAGAAAACGCCAACACATTGCATGATTAGGTAGTAAAGAAGTTCATTGAAAAACCACGAAGACTTGCTTTCTCATACAAATAGGTATTCATATATGGCTGATAACAAGCTGATGATGTCTTACGTCCATGGCATGTGAGAATTTTTCCGGGAACTTTTTAATGCAGTCAATGATGATTGCCATTTCAGCACGACAATTTCATCACAACTTTTGATAGTTGTTGATGACAAATCTGAGCCTTTTTCGGTTCTTTTGTCAAAGTTTCTTTACAATATGTACATAGGTATCTATTTATGTATGTGGTGTTGAGAAAATAAATCACATATCTGCAACTATTTTTGAACTGTTTCTCTGCTTTACTATAAGATCCTTCGGCAATTTAAATTAACCAAAATGGTTCTATTTCCTGCATAAATATCACGCATTTGCTTTCTAAGATTGCCGTTTCCGAAGTTCTAGGGAGTCTAAATTCGGAAAATTTCTCGCTCGGCGCCAACCATGGTGGCGCCTCGTGAGCCCGACCAAATGTTTTTCGCTAGCTACGCCACTGGCGACCAATTGTATCATTCCCTGGTTCGCCTACTTACGAAATCTCAAAGTACTTGACTGACATACTGCAACCACTTACAAACAAATCAAAACACAAGCTACAATCCACTGAAACTTTCATTAAAAGACTGTGCACTATACAAATACCGGACAACTATATACTAGTGTCCTTTGATGTGAAATCACTGTTAACCAGTATTCCACTTAATCTGGCACTTACTTGTACAAAAACCTTCATTGCAAACACCACGGACGTACTGACATTACCGACAGAAGACATTATGGAGCTACTGAAGCTCTGCCTCACCTCGACTTACTTCCAGTACAAAGGTACACACTATAAACAATTTTATGAGACAGCAATGGGCTCACCCGTTTCTGTTGTAGTTGCTGAAATTGTAATGCAATCTATAGAAGAACGGGCGCTCACGACTTACAAACATGCACTACCGTTTTGGTTTCGCTACGTAGATGACACAATCACAGCACTACATGCAGACGAGTTAATGACTTTCACACTCACATCAACAAACAGAACAGCCACATACAATTTATCAAAGATGTCGAAGAAAGCGAACTCTTCCTTTCTCGACTGTTTGGTAAAACATGACAATCAAAAACTACGAACAACAGTTTATCGCAAGCCGACACATACTGACCGACTACCAATCATCTTACAACCCTACATCACACAAAGCCACCACAATCAGAACATTAACAAGACGTGCACAAATCATATGTGATTCACCGCACGCTCTGCACAACGAAAACAACTATCTCAAACGTGTTTTTGACAAAACAACTATAACTCTGACTTTATCAAACGCAACACTTACGACCCAACGAAACGAAGAACTCAGTGACAACAGCAAAGATACCTTACATCAAAGGTACGTCTGAGACTATCTCGCGTATCTTACGACCATACAACATACGTGTCGCACATAAACCAATCACAACGTTACGACAAGTACTAACGAACATAAAGGACAAAGAACAACCCAACGAACGATAAGGTGCAGTTTACAAAATAAAGTGCTCCGACTGCCACGCCTCCTTTATCGGGGAAACTGGCAGGAACTTAAACATAAAACTTACTGAACGCAAACGAGCTACTAAGAAACAAGACAAAACTAATCACATTGCCGAACATCACCGAATCACAAAGCACAACATTGACTGGGACTCGGCAAAATGCATTACTTACAGTACTGACTATAGACAACGGCTTACATTAGAAAGTTAGTATACCAACTTGGAACAAACCTCCCTGAACAGATCACAGCAATTATCGGCACCTTACAAACGATTATTCACACTACAAACAAACGATCAACTAAAAACATTACACTTCACACTAATTCACTGACAATACACAATTGACAGCACCCACAATACAACTAAAACATCACACCTAAATCACACATCACAACTAAAATAAAAATATTTCACTACACCACTTCACAATGACAATACATTTCCACTGTACGCAATACAATGACGTAAGAACCAGATAACAAGTACGGCTAACCTGACGTTTTACTTTCTCATTTGACTCTGAGGAGGATTACCGCTAAGGTTGTCAAAACTTCAACAACAACAAAAAAACAGTCCTTTCTCAGGACTATACCAACCTGGACGATCGACGTTTACAAACATGTAACGATACTCCGGGCTCAAACCCATTTACTAAATTAACTCTATCTCATGTACTTTGAGTTGTGCTGTCATTGTAATTGTTCTTGTAATTGTTCACATACATTATACCAATTATAAGAGCCTGTTGATGATTTGCAATAGAAGGATGTATTATTTTACGCGACACTGAAATTTTAAAGCTTAAAATTTCTGTTCATCATTGTGGCGAAGTTCAAGCAGCTAACTCAAAATCATCCTTGGTCTCTTCACCTACCCACAATTTTTGTTTTCGTTTGATAAATGCTTTCGTATTTGCTAAATGTGTAGAGGTCCTGATCCAAAATCTTGAAGATCAAGAAAAATTAAGCAAAAGAAAACGTATGTGAAAATATTCTATAGACGCGGGAAATTTTATTACGTCTGTATCAATTATTGCTTCGAAAGGCTCTACACACGAAGAACTTCACTTGCCTTTATTACGACAAAACCCACTCTATACATCACTGTATCTACTAATGTAAAACTTACTTTTTGACTCGTTGACTTTCTATGAAACCTATGTAGGCCCTTCCGGACAATTTCATAAAACGTGAGTTGAAAAATATTCGTTTACATTGTCCCTCTGAAAAATGCAAATGGTTTGGTGCCTATGAAGAATTGGAAGTGAGTTGAGCTGAGAAATTTATCAAAAAAGCCTAACCTTATTACTTACTAATTAAAGTTCTTTTTTGCCAGGGTCATTCTGAAGTTTGTGAGCATGCGTTCATCAACTGTATCCCCAAGCAATGTAACATTCAGTTACCTCGCTCTCTTCTTGGTGAACATTTGAAGAATGAATGTGAATATCGAAATGTAAAATGTGAATATTGTGGTAAAGATGTCCATATGCACTTATGGTATGGAAAATATTTGTCCATTTGATCACAGGAACACAGCGAGATTAGATAAATAGTCTTTGTCTTAATGTGTATCTTATATATCTCTATACTGATCATTTAATTACTTGGAAAAATGAATCGACTCCTTTTTACCGCCTTTTAAGAAATTAGACGGAACTTTATTCACTAAACAAGCGTTGCCTTTTATTTTCTTTGATCTATAGGACCACAAAGAAAATGTTTGTGGAAATGCAGTTTTGACTTGTAAGTATTGCAAGAAAAAGATACCAAGGAAGATATAGAAAACCATGAAAGTACAAATTGTGATGAAGTGCCCACTGACTGTGAATTTCAAGCCATTGGATGTAATCATGACAAAGTAAGAATGTTTGAACTATTTTACCATTTCATGTCTGCAACAATGAAACGTATCTGCAAAATTCTTTAACCAAAAACTAAATTTTATTGAAAGTTCCAAACAATATAACATTAACATTTCATGGAATTGATATGGTTTTTGACAAATCATTTATACTTGCTCAGGTATTAAAAAAGCAGTTTCTCTTGAACCCTTGCCCTCTTCCGTTTTTCGAGGTTGAATTTTCTGTTTTTTTGTTGTCCAGTTGAAAGATGTAATTTTTCGTTTATTCTCCAACTATTTTGATGATTAAACGTTTTGAGGAAAAGGAGTAATAAGGGTACATGACATCGTTATCGTGTTTAGATTGAAATATCTGGCAGTGAATTATTTTGTTATAAGAATATCTTTCACTGTTTTTTGTTTTTCTTGTACAGACTTTAGAACGAAGGAGATCCAACAACATATGAACGACAATGTAATTGATCATATGAGCCTCTTATTACGATATGTACAACGTCCACAGTTTACCACTGCTGTTCAAAACTTGGGTGACCGAATCACAGCTGTTCGTTCTAATCCCTCAGAAAAATTTGTGATGCTAGCAGGAAAACCTACCGGCCTGGAAAGGAGGATTGAGACTCAGGAAAGGAGGATTGAGACTCAGGAAAGGAGGATTGAGACTCAGGAAAGGAGGATTGAGAGTCAGGAAAGGAGGATTGAGAATCGTGGTGAGGAAAATCGAATAGCTTCCCTTGAGCGTCAGGTTACTACAATTTCCACAATTTTACAAAGGATGTGGGAGTTTGGATGAGAGGGGCGACTTGCCGGAAGAACCGCATGACGCTCGCGAAGTTTGAACTAATCATCAAAGTCATCTACATAACTTTACTGTTTTGCTGTTGTGTCCTGCTTGAAGTGCCCTTGAACTAAGATTATTCCAGATCAGTGGACGATCTGGAATAATCTCGACAGATAAGGAGTGGTCGGACCGATAAGGGTGTCTAATTGTTCTCGTGTAATTGCTTCGTTTAAGGTTTTATCTTACTGTGTGATTGGTTTGACCGATTTCGACTGATAGCCAACTGAGGTAACATTGTCATGCTCACTGCCTGAATTAGTGCTGCCAAATCGTGAACACTGTTCACAGATTTGTGAACTTTTTGCTCTCTTCATGAACATTTCATAAATGTTAAAAGTTTGTAAACTTTTTGTGAACTTTTCTAAATATTAAGTATTTTTGTATTTTCATCATTTTCATAAGGAATGTATAAAGTAAATGGTTTGAACCCTGGAGTATCGTTACATATTTGTAAATGTAGATCGTCCAGGCTGGTATACTCCTGAGAACGACTGTTTTTGTTGTTGTTGACTGACGTTTCGACAACCTTAGAGGTACTCATCTTTAGAGACAAAAAACATGTAAAGAATGTATAGATAAATCATAGTTCAATGAAAATCGTCATAGCTCGACAGTTCTTTCAAAACAACGACGATTTTAAGATAATCCAATGTTTTCCGAAAACTTCCGAGGGTTTTCAAATATTTCCGATGTTTTCCGAAAATGTCCGAGTTAATCCGTTCACTTCCGATCTTATAAATTAGATGTAATATGAACTTTTTGCCATTTTGTGAACTTTTGACGCAAGCGAGCGTGAATTTTTAAAATTTCATCTGGCAACACTGATCTTAATAGACCTTTTCAAGGTTATCGCAGCCATATTGCAGGGGGTGCAAAAACATTGGGCCGAGCGCGCGGTCACGCATGGCGTCCATATAAATTAGTAATAAATGCGCAAAAATTACCCTTATACATATTGGCCATTTCTTTCAAAAACATTTCTCAAACTCATCCATTTTAAGAGTCAAACTATTATTTGCAATTTTTTATACACGTGAGTCGAATTTTGTGGTAATCAAAAAGCGGAAAGTTAAAGAAAACATTTGTTTTTTTTGAACAACTTGACCGTCGTTTGAGCGATGTTCTTGAGTTCGCAAATGTGCGGATCTCCTAAGCCAAGTCAAACGAACTAAACCTAAACTAGCCGAGTAGCCGTAAGCAGTCATAGCCGAAATGGTAAAAAATGCGCGTTGTGCAGTTGGATATTGCGATAATGATAAACGCTATCCCTATTATCAAGTTAAGAGGTCTCACGTAGAAAATTTAGTTTTTCATAAATGGCCCAAAGATCAAGCACTTGCTGAAATTTGGCGAAAACAATTGCAAACAGCAGAGCCAAAGCCTGGTGCACAAGGTACTTTCATTTGCTCAAATTATTTTCCCTTGGTGAAGAACCCCAAATAAAGCGGAACGGATTATCCTTCGGTTTTATTACGCTATCAGAGTACGAGCAATCGAGGACCCCTTAAACGTAAAGGAAGAGAAACATGGACGACATCAAAGCGTCCTCATCAATCCTATGACACCGAGGATTCTGATTCAAGTTTTGATGGAAATCCAGCAAAATCTGAGGCATCTTTACTCCCTGTCCCTTTGGAATTTGAACAGTTGACGAGAGAGCATGATGTAAGGTTTCACACCGGCCTGCTATCGACTAACAGTTTTAAGTGTGTATTTGAATACTTGGCTGTTTCTTCTTCTGGCTGTTAAGTCGCCATACATAATAATAAAAATAGCAATGTCTCTTTACAAATAATTGGAAATACTAATAAGAGTTTGCCGTAGAATAGTTCCTCGTGATACTTGACGACTTTGCTGAGAGACATGTGCGTGTGTTGCGAACTCAAGAACATCGCTCAAACGACGGTCAAGTTGTTCAAAAAAAAACAAATGTTTTCTTTAACTTTCCGCTTTTTGATTACCACAAAATTCGACTCACGTGTATAAAAATCGCAAATAATAATTCAACTATTAAAATGGACGAGTTTAGAAATATTTTTGAAGAGTGGCCAATATATAAGGGGTAATTTTGCGCATTTATTAGTAATTTATATGGACGCCATGCGTGACCGCGCTCGGCCCAATGTTTTGCACCCTGCAATATGGCTGCGATAACCTTGAAAAGGTCTATTGTATGTTTGATCGTTTCATAGTAATTTGCTAAAGCATGATAGAAACTATAATCAGCGTCACCGCAGAAATTTGGGAAAATCTTTTGCAAATTCATATATTGACATGAATGCTGCTGTCCAGATTGCGATTTTTTCAAGAGGGTGAAAAATTTATGAATGAATTGTAAATCTTCGGGCAAAGACACGAGAGACATTTCAATTATTGATGTTCAAAAGCAAGCCATCATTTTGTTAGAGATTTCTCAGCAGAAATTTACATCCAAAATCGTAAGTAAAGGACAACTGAAGTGTATGCATGAATGTAAAATATCAAAGTCAATTTATGCGAGTGTGTGATGCGATTTATGTCAATATGGCGCATGGTGAGCAGATTGATGCTTCTACAATTAATGTTGCCGAAGGACTTTTAGCTATGATTTCTTTAGTGCTTGGGGAATCTTGGCCGTTATATGGCCAAGTATTTCAATGTAAAAAATCTGTAGCTATAAGGTGCCATGTTATTATATACCTTATTATAAACAAATGTATTGGGCTTTTCAGTTTATGATCATAGATCATTCAATCATTGGACAATTATACTACACATTGTTTAAGATTTGAGAAAACTAACATTGATTACATGAGAAGCTGTTTACTATAACTTGTGATTTTGAGTCTTCTGATCCATGAAGCTTTTATTTTGACAATTTGACTGGGATAGTATTAAACCTGAGCTATTTCACACACATGAAATGTCCCATGTCACATATTGTCCCTTTCCTAACTGAACACCACATGTAGAGATGTAAAGGTGTGTTGATCTACGGCTCATACCAGATTGTTTGCCATAATTCCTAAGGGCTATTGATGTATGAAAAGCATTTTCTATAACTATAAAGATGTGTTCCTAGGTATGCAGATAAGCCTTGAAATTTGGCAAAACAGCCAAGTATTTTGCATGATCACTAGGTAATTTTTCTGATGATCTTTATAATTTTAAACTAAATTATTTCAGATTTACATTTTAACTAGTTTTGATTCTATGAAAAATATTTATCATAGCCAGTAAGCATGACACAAGATCAATTTTAACATTCATGTAATTACATGATTAAAGACATGCTGGTTACATTCTGTTTTTATTAGCAAGTACAATGCTACTGGTAATTGCTATAGCACAACATGGACTTACAGAAGATAATAGTCTACTGAAAGGCTTCATAAACTTTAATGGCATTAAGCTGTCCTTAATTGCAAAATTTCATCTCTGATACTTATTGTTTAATCTTTGGCAGAAAAAAATTTTGAATTTTTTCTCAAAAGGTGAATTTTCTGCCACTGTAAGTGGAAATGGGTTAAGGGTTCAATAAACTTGCATGGTTTGAAGTCTGAGCTTTTTTACATTCATGGACTGACCCTTGTAGTACCTCACTCCTAACTTAAATCATTACATAGAGGTTTGAATGGGGGTTACTAGGGGGGGGTCTATGCCTCACAATTTGGTAGAAATTTTTAAAGACTATCTCTGTTTTGAAATAGCATTGTTGTAAAGTAAATTTTATGCTCCTAAGCATGCTAATGAGCCTTAACATTTGGCAAAACATTCAACTATTGTTCACTTTACAGTTTTTTTTTTAAAAAAACAATGTCCACATAAAGCATTTTGTATTGCTCTAAAATGCTTAAAATAGCATTCCCAAGGCTTGAAATTCAAAATTTCTCACTCTTCCTGCGTTGGCTACCTGTTGTACAAATTTTCCTCTAAAGTATTAATACAGAAATGAATAAAAAAGTTATGATTTGTGTTCTGTGGAACACACTTCAAAATATTTCCCACTAGGCTACCTATGCTATAAGTAACAGAATTTAACATAAAAGCCCATCATGACACAATGACATCCAAAAACGTCTTATCGAAATCAAAGCACCCCATGCTCCCCCATAAAATCATCCTTGATCCATCCCTGTCTTGAAGTGAATGCACTAAATTTATCCCCAGTTTCACATTTCACATTTTGTGTATTTTTTAAGGTGCAGAAGAAAGATTGATTCCTTCTGTGTTCTAACTCAATTACTAAACTTGTAAGATACAGGGCCAGGACTCAAGTGGTAAGTTATCTTTTCTATTCTATGCATACTATTAAGTCAAGTTAATCTTGCAATAGAATGGATAAAACATCACCCAGATTGTAAAAAATTGAATGCATGATTAGGCACCATACCACTATCACACATAAGTCTACATAAGTAAAATATGCTGGCATTGGCTAGATTTGTGAGCAACAAAATTTTATTCATGACCATGGTATCAGAGTGTCTGTACAGAGAACATGTTCATTTTAAATGTGGGTGTCCATCTATTATAGGAAAAACACCTGCACTTTTAGCTTCTTGCTTTTAAGGTAAAGGATGTTTGAATGCCATGTATTTACTGGCATCATGGTGAAACCATTACATAATTTATTTGTTTCGTGTGTTCATCCTTAAAATGGACATTAATGCCACAGAATATTTACATACAGGTCATTTCTAGTGATTTTTGTGATTTGCATTTGTCAAGGAAATTTTCTTTGCTGAGTGTCAATGAATCATGTATGGTGTTAACATAAAAGTCACTCAAAGTTAAATTAAGATAATTGAATGTAACTATAGCAGAAGATAGTCAGTATTAACCAGTCAACCAACAATCAAACAAACCATGACTTTCCATTTAAACTGTGACCAAGGTAGAGGATGGGTGGCTATGGTTGCAGCCTCAAAATGATTAAGATGGAGGTACCAAGACCCCCCTCCCATTATTCAATTATTCATTGTTACAAAGAGCTTTTCAAAGTTTTTTTCTGAAATAAGTTCCTGTTCGACAATGGAAAACAATTGACATATAAATGGCCTCTCATACTGTCTGTCTCTCTCATACAGACTGACCTAATGAAGCTGAAACTTTGCTTAATGGTCTGAATGCCAAGCGCCTGCTACGACGTTTCTTGTTGTTTGCTACACCGCTCTATACAAAACGTCTTCCGCTGTCACTGTCTGTGATAGCAAAGCTCTTATTGTGGTCCAAAAAATCAAGGCATTTAAACATATTTTAAAATCCTAATCACGTAAGGTGCATTTGCCAAACGTCTGTCTTATTTTCAATAAACTGCAGGTGGTTTTCCCTTTTCTTCGGTATTTAAAGAAACGTTGTGTTTGCGTTTGTTTTTCGGTATGCTAGTTACGTGTTTTAAACTTTTTTTCTTTGAAAACAGATTTTGACTTTGTTAACGTTGCCTGGAATCAAGATCCGTGATGAAGATCGAGAAAAAATCCCAGCGAAGTATATTTGTACTTACTGTCATCACCTTCTCATCAATCCAATGCAGACCTCGTGTGGACATTTGTTTTGTAAATCTTGTATGGACATTATTCTTGGGTAACGTCATTTTTTATGTAACAAATCATTTATAAAAAGTTATAGTAGTTGTCATACATGCTCTTTCAATAGACGCCCTCATTGTGCATCCCAATATCGTATCACATATCCCAAAGTATTTCTGCGTATCATCTTGTTCAATTAAGTCGGTGCCTAGCTGCTAGGGCGTCAAAATTGTTTATTAGATCTCTTGATACGACTTCGGTTAAAAACTGTTGCGTAGGAGACTAGGGAGAGCTCATCATAGTCCATCATATTTTTATAATCCTAAATAACAACTGCTTTCCTAGGAACGTAATTTATCAGAACATGCATTTAGAAATATGGACCTTTAACTGTCGAACTGGCTAGGCCATCCACTCTTCAATTTATCATTCTTGTTAGTAGTTTTGCCTTTTTCAATCTGTAGAAATCCTGATCCAAAATGTCCTGAAGATAAAGAAAATTTGACCATGGAAAGTGTAGGTGAAAATATTGCAAAGATTTGACAGAAAATTTAATTACAGTTTTATTGCTATCGATCATTAGCGTAGCCATCCCGCAAGTTTAGTCCTGCTTTGTTAATGTTAGTACATAATATTTTCCATATTACAGGGCATGTCAGTTAATGAGCAAAGAAAAATTAGCATAGCACGACTAAATAAGCATGTTGGCTATTAACAACTATAATTATAATTACTCTTTGAGTTCTAAAATTATACATCGATGTGCGTATTTTGTACTTGAAATGATATCGCCTAGGATCATGAGACTCCACCATGCCTAGCAACAGCGTATACAGGTACATAAACGGTTCAGTGACCAGGTAAATTACAACAATATAAGCTGCACAGGTAGTGTTCATGCTTTCGCTCAACATGTTGAGTGTGCGGTTTTAAAAACCAGAAGTTTCATTGCACTATAAACAAAATTGAGGTGCGGTTTGGTGACCATGGAACAAAGCAAATGTTGAGTGATGTTGAGTGAAATTTTGAGCAAGTTTAAACTTCGCTCAACAACGCTCAACACCGCTTAATAGCTACTACTCAACTGTCCTAAACACGGTGTTGAACATGTTGAGTTCGTTGTTGAGTCACATGTTAAGAGCCTTTGCACTTAGCGTTAGTGCGTCGGTGAATTCTACTTCAAAAAAGTTTGCCAACAGTTCTTATAAGAAATTTACGTTACTACTTCATTTAACGTCTAGTGCAAACTTGCATTTGAGTAAAGAAAAGTGACTCTGTCTTTTGCTACATTTAATCTTGTTTCATAAAAGATCAATTTCCAGGATCCATCTAGGTTTTCCCGGATGATTTCACGAAGCGTGAGTTAAAAAGGATTCAATTACACTGTCCATCTGAAGAGTGTAAATGGTTTGGTAAATACGAAGAATTGGAGTGAGTTGCGTTAAGAATTTATCAAAATATTTTTGTCCACTTATTAAGTTTCTTTTTTGCCAGGGTCATTCAGAGTTTGTGAGCATGCGCTCATCAGTTGTATACACAAGCAATGTAACATTCAGTTACCTCGCTCTCTTCTTGATGAACATTTGAAGAATGATTGTGAATATCGAAATGTAAAATGTGAACATTGTGGTAAAGATGCTCCATATGCTTCACTTAAAGGTAAGCAAAATATTTGTCCATTGATCACGGAACACAGCGAGATGAGATAAATAGTCTGTGTCTTAATGTATCTTATTATACATCTGTATACTGATGTTTCTTACTGGGCAAAAGAATCAACTCCTTTTAACGCCTTTTAAGAAATTAGATTGAACTTTATATCCACCAAACAGTCGTTACCTTGTATTATTTTTTGCCATGTGGATCCCAAAGAAAATGTGTGTGAAAATGCACTCGTCACTTGTAAATATTGCAATCAAATGATACCCAGGAAAGATATAGAAACCATCATGAAAGTACAAATTGTGATGAGTGCCCACTGACTGTGAATTTCAAGCCATTGGATGTAATCATGACAAAGTAAGAATGTTTGAACTATTTTACAATTTCATGTCTGCAACGATGAAACGTATCTGCAAAATTCTTTAACCAAAAACTAAATTTTATTGAAAGTTCCAAAGAATATAACATTAACATTTCATGAAATTGATATGGTTTTTGACAAATCGTTTATACTTGCTCAGGTATTAAAAAAGCGGTTTCTCTTGAACCCTTGCCCTCTTCCGTTTTTCGAGGTTGAATTTTCTGTTTGTTTTTTTTGGTTTGTCCAGTTGAAGATGTAATTTTTCGTTTATTCTCCAACTTTGATGATTAAACGTTTTGAGGAAAAGGAAATAAGGGTACATGACATCGTTATCATGTTTAGATTGAAATATCTGGTGAATTATTTTGTTATAAGAATATCTTTTCACTGTTGTTTTTGTTTCTTGTACAGACTTTAGAACGAAGGGAGATCCGTCAACATATGAATGACAATCTGATTGATCACGTAGGCGCCTTGTTACGATATGTTTATGGCATTTGTTTACACAGTTAAGTAACTATATACCCGTCCAGAGTTTACCACTGCTGTTCAAAACTTGGCTGACCGAATCACAGCTGTTCGTGCAAATCTCTCAGAAAGATTTGTGATTCTAATAGGAAATCTTACGGCCTGCAAAGGAGGATTGAGAGTCAGGAAAGGAGGATTGAGAGTCAGGAAGGAGGATTGAGAGTCAGGAAAGGAGGATCAGGGAGTCTTGAGAATCGCGGTAGAAAGGGGCGACTTACGGAAGAACCGCATGATGCTCGGAACTTTGATCATTGACGATCTGGAATAATCTCGACGGATAAGCGGAGTGGCCGGACCGATAAGGGTGTCTAATTGCTCTCGTGTAATTGCTTCGTTTAAGGTTTTATCTTACTGTGTGATTGGTTTGACCGATTTCGACTGATAGCCAACTGAGGTAACATTGTCATGCTTACTGTCTGAATTAGTGTTGCCAAATCGTGAACACTGTTCACCGCTTTGTGAACTTTTTGCTCTCTTCATGAACATTTCATGAATGTTAAAAGTTTGTAAACTTTTTGTGAACTTTTCTAAATATTACGTATTTTTGCATTTTCATCGTTTTGATAAAGAATGTATAAAGTAAATGGTTTGAACCCGGGAGTATCGTTACATATTTGTAAATGTAGATCGTCCAGGCTGGTATAGTCCTGAGAAGGACTGTTTTTATTGTTGTTGACTGACGTTTCGACAAACTTAGCGGTAGTCATCTTCAAAGTCAAAAAAAAAACATGTGAAGAATGTATGGATAAATCATAGTTCAATGAAAAATCTTCATAGCTCGACAGTTCTTTCAAAACAACGACGATTTTAAGATAATCCAATGTTTTCCGAAAACTTCCGAGGGTTTTCAAATATTTCCGAGGTTTTCCGAAAATGTCCGAGATAATCTGTTCACTTCCGATCTTATAAATTACATGTAATATGAACTTTTTGCCATACTGTGAACTTTTGACGCAAGCGAGCGTGAATTTTTAAAATTTCATCTGGCAACACTGAATGTTTAATTGAATGTTTGATCGTTTCATAGTAATTTGCTAAAGCATGATAGAAACTATAATCAGCGTCACCGCAGAAATTTGGGAAAATCTTTTACAAATTCACATATTGACATGAATGCTGCTGTCCAGATTGCGATTTTTTGAAGAGGGTGAAAAATTTATGAATGAATTGTAAATGTTCGGGCAAAGACGCGAGAGACATTTCAGTCATTGATGTTCAAAAGCAAGCCATCATTTTGTTAGAGATTTCTCAGCAGAAATTTACATCCAAAATCGTAAGTAAAGGACAACTGAAGTGTATGCATGAATGTAAAATATCAAAGTCAATTTATGCGAGTGTGTGATGCGATTTATGTCAATATGACGCATTGTAAGCAGATTGATGCTTCTACAATTGTTGCCGAAGGACTTTTAGCTATGATTTCTTTAGTGCTTGGGGAATCTTGGCCGTTATATGGCAGCGAAATCCTATATTCTTTCAAATGTATTTCAATGGAAAAAAATCTGTAGCCATAAGGTGCCATGTTATTATTTACCATACTATAAACAAATGTTTGAGGCTTTTCAGTTTATGATCATTGATCATTCAATCATTGGACAATTAAACTACACATTGTTTAAGATTTGAGAAAACTAATATTGATATGAACTGTTTACTATAACCTGTGATTATGACTCTTTCTGATCCGTGAAGCTTTTTATTTTGACAATTTGACTGGGATAGTATTAAACCTGAGCTATTTCACATACATGAAATGTTGTCCCATGTCACATATTGTCCCCTTTTCTAACTGAACACCTCATGTAGAGATGTCAAGGTGTGTTGATCTATGGCTCATATTAGATTGTTTGCCATAAATTCCTAAGGACTATTGATGTATGAAAAGCCTTTTCTATAAAGTAAAGATGTGTTCCTAGGTATGCAGATAAACCTTGAAATTTGGCAAAACAGCCAAGTATTTTGCATGATCACTAGGTAATTTTTCTGATAATAATTATAATTTTTAAACTAAATTATTTTAGATTTACATTTTAACTAGTTTTGATTCTATGAAAAGATATTTATCATAAGCAGTAAGCATGACACATATACCAATTTTAACATTCATGTAATTATATGATTAAAGACATGTTGGTTACATTTTGTTTTTATTAGCAAGTACAATGCTACTGGTAATTGCTATATAGCATAACTTGCATGGACTTACAGAAGATTATAGTCTACTGAAAGGCTTCATAAACTTTAATGGCATTAAGCTGTCCTTAATTGCAAAATTTCTTTTCTGAAACTTATTGTTTAATCTTTGGCAGAAAATAATTTTGAATTTTTTCTCAAAAGGTTAATTTTCTGCCACTGTAAGTGGAAATGGGTTAAGGGTTCAATAAACTTGCATGGTTTGAAGTCTGAGCTTTTTTACATTCATGGACTGACCCTTGTAGTACCTCACTTCTAACTTAAATCATTACGTAGAGGTGTGAATGGGGGTTACTAGGGGGGTCTATGCCTTACAATTTGGTAGAAATTTTTAAAGACTATCTTTGTTTTGAAATAGCATTATTGTAAAGTAAATTTTATGCTCCTAAGCATGCTGATGAGCCTTGACATTCGGCAAAACATTCAAGTATTGTTCACTTTACAGTTTTTTTTTTAGAAAAAATATAAGCAAAATGTGCTGTTTTTACCCAAAAACAATGCCCACAAAAAGCATTTTGTATTGCTCTAAAATGCTAAAATTGGCATTCCCAAGGCTTTGAAATTCAAAATTTCTCACTCTTCCTTGCGTTGGCTACTAGTTGTACGAATTGCCCTTTAAAGTATTAATATACAAAGGAATTGAGAAAAAAGGAATTATGATTTGTGTTCTGTGGATCACACTTCAAAAATATTTCCCACTAGGCTACCTATGCTATAAGTAACAGAATTTAACATAAAAGCCCATCATGACACAATGACATCCAAAAACGTCTTATCGAAATCAAAGCACCCATGTCCTCCCATAAAATCATTCTTGATCCATCCCTGTCTTGAAGCGAATGCACTAAATTTATCCCCAGTTTTACATTTCACATTTTGTGTATTTTTTTTAAGGTGCAAAGAAAGATTGATTCCTTCTGTGTTCTAACTCAATCACTAAACTTGTAAGATACAGGGCCAGGACTCAAGTGGTAAGTTACTATTCTATGCATACTGTTAAGTCAAGTTAATCTTGCAATAGAAGGGATAAAACATCACCCAGATTGTAAAAAATTGAATGCATGATTAGGCACCATACCACTATCATACATAAATCTACATACGTAAAATATGCTGGCATTGGCTAGATTTGTGAGCAACAAAATTTTATTCATGACCATGGTATCAGGGTGTGCGTACAGAGAACATGTTCATTTGAAATGTGGGTGTCCATCCACTATAGGAAAAACACCTACACTTTTAGCTTCTTGCTTTAAATTTAATGATGTTTGAATGCCATGTATTTACTGGCATCATGGTGAAAACCATTACATAATTTATTTGTTTCGTGTGTTCATCCTTAAAATGGACATTAATGCCACAGAATATTTACATACAGGTCATTTCTAGTGATTTTTGTGATTTGCATTTGTCAAGGGCAATTTTCTTTGCTGAGTGTCAGTGAATCATGTACAGTGTTAACATAAAAGTCACTCAAAGTTAAATAAAGATAATTGAATGTAACTATAGCAGAAGATAGTCAGTATTAACCAGTCAACCAACAATCAAACAAACCATGACTTTCCATTTAATCTGTGACCAAAGGAAGGGGATGGGTGGCTATGGAGGTTGCAGCCTCCAAAATAATTAAGATGGAGGTGCCAAGACCCCCTCCCATTATTCAATTATTCATTGTTACAAAG